TAATGTGGATGAGAAATCCAAACACCCTTGGGACCAGCAGTTAGCGTAATGGCTATGTCGCTGGACTCCCATGTAGCGACCCCATTTCGAGTCCTGGACCTGGTGGCTTAAACTCACGCCGAGCGTCTGTGCGTGCTTACCCAGGATCCCGAGAGGAGAATGAAGGAGAATGGATTGCAGCTTGGCCATCCCCTCTGGGGGGTGATTTCTTGCTTTCTGTCTCTCTCTCTCTCTCTATCTTTCTGGCGAGCACATGCACCCTATAGCAAAAACCTCTCCAAAAAAAGAAATCCAAACACCTGACAGCCATCCTCAATTCCCTCTCGCCTTCCTCTCATTCGAAGGATGCCCAGATTTTCTCTGTGCCCTAGCTACGCTCAAATTCACCTCGCTGCTATACTGTTCACTTTTTCTTTGCTACCTCAGCTCTTTATCACTTGTTAGATTATTCCAACTGCCTCCCCCTGGGGTCCCCACCCTCTCAGACCCTCCTTTATTCTCCATCCACACTTCTTCGAAATTCACCTTCTATTTCCACCCACTACTGTGCTGCTGACTGAAATACCTGACACTGGTGAATTATAAAAAAATAGAAATCTGACTCATGAATTGTGTGACTGAAAAATGTAATAGTGTGAAGCTGGCAACAGGATGGCTATACTACAACATGACTGACAGGAGGAGAGAATGGCGGGCATGTGCGTAGAGAGAGACCTGGGGCACCATCTCCCTTCTTGGGCAACCCACTCCCATGAGAACTAATTTGTTCTCACAAGAGCTAGAACTCAGTGGGCCTCAAGAGCCATTACCAAACCGTTCTTAAGGGTCATGATCCATCACCATTCACTAGGCTTCCCCTCTCAAAGGTCTCACCATCTCTCAGTGCCTTTATGCTAGGGACTAAATTCCAAAATTTAGTGGGATAAATCATGATTTGAACCATAGCAACTTCTACAGGGAAAATCTGGTCACAACATTTACTCAGCAATTTCAACATCTTCAAAAAGTCAACCACAACTTCATACCTGGGTCCTCTCTCCCTCGCCATCCTCAGCCTTTGCCGGTCTCCCATGCCCTTGAAGCCATTGCTCTGCATGCCCTGACTACATCAGGTACTCACTCACACTCTGAAATGCCATCCCTCTTCCCTCTTGCCCTCCTTGGTTGTCTCTGAATTGCACACACACTTTTTTTTATCCAGTGTTCTCACTAAACTCCCAAACTATCTCACACTGCAGCACACCATGTATATGTTTTCCTTAGAGAAATAAGAATGACCTGACATCAGTATGTTCACTGACAGTCTATTCTCATTATTCACGTTGTTATGTTCTATAAAGTCTCTGTTAACACTGAATTAACAAGGGCTGAGTCATTGCCGAGTCATTTCACCTACAGGTTTAGTTTTTTGCAAGCCTCTGGTTACACATTTTCATCAACCAGTGAATATATAACCTTGATTATGTGTGTTTATGCTTAAGGACATCTTTTTAATATGCATCATTGATTCATCAACATTGAACTCAAGGCCAATAGCACTACAGTTCATGCCTGAAGGAAGTCTATCAAACACACGTTTTCTCCAAAAAGCACAACACAGCCTTCTCGTGCTCAGAAGCTGTCGACATCACTAGAACACTATACTTTAGGACCACTTTAAAGAAAAGTATAAAAATTTTAAACACATGACACCAGTAGACCATAGAAAGGATGCTTGTTTGCAGGATAAGAGATGAAGGAAGGCGGCAGAGCATCACCTTGTTCTGCCTCAGCTGGGATCATGTGTGTCAGGTAATTCACATTTTTAGCTACTCTGTGTGTATGTGTAAGGATGGCCTTGAAAGTGCCACAAGTATTGCGTTTAGGGTTACAAGGAAATTTTGGTCCTTAGGGAAATTCACAGAAATGGAATCTGCAAGTAACAGGTCTGGCTACATTTGTATCTTTAATGCCTATAGTCCCTTTGAGACAGAGCTCCTGGGGACAGGAATTAGGCCTCTGTTTTCACAAGTGAGTTCTCAGCACTAGGCTAGTGCTTGGGAGATGGCCAGGGCCAGATAAATAGTCACCAAATGACCAAGTGAGTCAATGCTACTTCCCTCTGTCAAGAAAAGTCTTTCTCTAATGCCTGTCACACTCATTCTTGTCCTCCTAAGTACATGTCAAAAGCACTTCCCTCTCCCCACCCCTGGGGCCAGCAGATGGCATGGTGGTTGAGGCACTCAACTCCCACATGGCTGACTATGGTCTTAGTCCCAGACCTGGCAGCTTGTTCTCTTTCTCTCTCTCTCTCTTTCTCTGTCATGAGTGCACGTGCCCTATATGAATTTAAAATAATAATAATAACAAACAATTTTTTTTTTTAAAAGGCAATTCCCCCTAGCCCTCCAGTCAGAGTTCTATTCTCCTTCTAGGCTCCCTTATTATTCTGAGTATATCTCTGTTACAACATTCATCACATTCTATTTTAATTATTTATTTACATATGAGTTTCCTTCACTAGACTATGAGTCACTACGGGCAGGATCTTCTTCATAATTACTTTGTATCCCTAATACCTAAAGCAGCAGCTAGTCTACATCAGGCAGCCAATGAATGTTTTCTTTAAAAATGTATATGTGGAAGCACCTGCTATGTTCAACATAAGAAATATTGGGAAAACACTAGTCACAAGGACTCAAGGAACCAAAAGTGCATTTGATGGCCATAAGGGCCATATGTTTGAAGTGAGCCTTGTAGATCTGTGGAATGATGAAGTTGCATTTAGGAAATTCAAGCTAACTACTGAGGATGTTCAGAGCAAAAACTGCCTGACTAACTTCCATGTCATGAATCTTAACCAGGACAAAAAATGTGTTCCATGGTCAAAAATATGGCAGACCATGAATGAAGCTCATGTCAATCTCAAGACTACTGATAGTTATTTCTTTTGTTTCTTCCATGTTGAGTTTACTAAAAAACACAACATTCAGATACGAAAGACATCTTATGCCCAGCATCAGCAGGCCTGCCAAATCTGGAAAATGGTGGAAATCATGACCCAGGAGATGCAGACAAATGACCTGAAAGAAGTGGGCAATAAACTGATTCCAGATAGCATTGGAAAAAACATAGAAAGGACTTGCCAGTCCATCTACCCACTCTATGATGTCTTTGACAGAAAGTAAAAATGCTGAAGAATCCCAAGTTTGAATTGGGAAAACTCATGGAGCTTCATGGTGAAGGTAGCAGCTCTGGAAAAGCTACTGGACATGAGACAGGCACCAAAGTTGAATGAGCTGATGGATATGAACCACCAGTTCAAGAATCTGTTTAAAGTTCAGTCTTCTAATAGTGACAAATAAAAAATCCTATTTGTGACCAAAAAAAATAAAAAATAATAAAATAAAGTAAAAATTAATACATGGGGTTCATAAACTTTTTCCTAATTCATGCTTCCAAATCTGTTACTTATCTAAAGGGTAGGAATACTTCCAGCTGTCTTGTAAAGGGAGACTATTTTATCTCCATATTTGCTAGATGCTTTTGTGCTTCTATTGTAAAATTAGTAGTTTCTTGAGATCCACTATCATAGCTCACTCTGTAAGATAAACAAGTCCTTGTATGTTAAAAGGTAGTTACTACTGAAGAGATGTTAGCTGAGTGAAATGAAACGACAAAAGTCTCCAGAAAACATCAAGCCAACAATGGAAAGTACTTCAGGTATTTTTAGACTTGTCAAATAGAGCTTTGGTATGTTTGTCAAAGCATAATAATTTGTGTGTTTCATAGACGTGTCATTATATTCATAGGCTGAAATGAGAATTCAGCATTTCACCATGAGGTACAGGCTCAAACCTCCAAGGTGGTTGAGCCACAGCCTCTAGGTGAGCTCTGGAGAATCCTTCTAGAAAATCTTCTCACCGCCACTCAGACGACCTCATCATGTCCATCCTTCAAAGCCCAGGTCAGGACCAAATGCTCCCAATACCCAACACCCAACTACCATTATCTCACTTTCCTTCCCCACAACTTACAAACTATGCCAATATTTCTTTGTTATTTCATGAGATAGTGTTTCATTATCCACATATTTTACCCACTTCATTAGTCAGGCAAGAGCTAGAACAACCGTCTTCCCAGTAGCACTCAAGAAAATGTCTAGAGTTCCATAAGTACTCATTAGCATGGATAGGAATGTATAGTTAGTTGATACAATAGTAAACTCCCTATTACATGATAATCAAAATAATGAAAACTTATGTTTATAATGTCATTGTCCGCACTCTATGGCAGAACCTGTAAGACTGGAAGGTACAAACACATGGAGAGCAATGGTGATACGGAGACAGTGGAATGTATAGTTAGTTGATACAATAGTAAACTCCCTATTACATGATAATCAAAATAATGAAAACTTATGTTTATAATGTCATTGTCCGCACTCTATGGCAGAACCTGTAAGACTGGAAGAGCAATGGTGATACAGAGACAGTGAGGGAGGGTGGGCAATGGAGGAGGGTGAGAGGGTGAGAATCACGGAGAAGAACAATGCAGCAAAACCTTCGAAAGACACAAAATGGAAAGAAATCTTTTGATTATAACATATGTGGTAATGTCTTTGACTGTACCAACATACAATGTATCTATGATGGGAAAATTCATTTGGTATGCTAAAATGATACACGATGACTGTTAAAATAATATTAACAGGGATCAGCAGTTGGCATAATGGCTATATCACTGAATTCCCATGTATTTACCACGGTTCGAGACCCAGACCCGGTGGCTTAAACTCACGCTGGGCGCGTATGCGTGCATGCCCAAAATCCCGAGAGGAGAATGGAGGAGAAGGGATTGTGGCATGGCCATGCCCCCGGGAGGTGATTTCTCACTTTCTGTCTCTCTGTTTCTCTCTGTCTCTCTGGCAAGCGCACACACCCGATAGCAAAAACCTTTCCAAAAAATAATAATAACAATAATAATATCATCCAACCCAATAATGCCAACACTCAACTTACTATTGTTTTCTGCATAAATTCTTATAACAGGCATCATCTCAAAGAGCACTTTTGGTTTTGACTCAGTGAGTCTCATATTCCTCTTGTCCCAGCCAGCACCCTCCAGATATAAGCCATAGACATAGACACCCTCTGTGGGAGGGGCAGAAATGTCATCCTTCATCCATTTGGTGACTTCATTGCAAAGCACCATATTGTCCAGAGCCCAGCCTTTGTTGGCCCGAGTTATTTCCTATTCAGAACAGCAAAGGATAAAAGAGGCAATTAGAGGTTTTTCTTAATAGATACAGAAAAACAATGATGCTTTAGCTCTAAATTATCCAAATTCAAAGGAAATAGAATAGTATTTAAAGAATTACAATGATTCTTTCATTAAAAATACCCATGTCCTTATTTAGCCATTTATTGTTTAAATAAATATCAAATCAAATCAAGTACAAAATAAATATGTTTACATTCAAGCCAGCAGCCTGAGAACAGGCTGGATTTATGTTCCTCATAATGTGACTGCTCATACCAAAAAGAGACAGTCATTCTCTGTCTTATTATGTTCTTTAAACCCATAATGAAAGAAGAAAACCTTGTCGAAGAAAATTACAATAACACAATGGGTGCAAGTCAGAGCTATTACCTGTCGCATTGCAGTTAAAAATCCTTGGGGGTTAAAAAAGCCTGTCATCCAAAAGCAGTGGGGTCGATCATTGAAAACCCAGGAGGTGAACTGGCAGTTCCTTTCTATAAGTTCAGTAAACCAGAAACCCAGTGTACTTGAAACCCAAGAAGCCTGAAGTAAATACATTAAAACAACTAATTAATATAAGCTTAAGTCTGCTGTATAAACTGGCTATATTCACCAGGACAAAATAAAGACAAAAAATTAATTTCACTTTTACAATGAAAAAGTTATTAGGTAAGAGATTTCCCTTGAATTCCAAATGTAAGCTTTTCAAATTATTTTTTCTCATTAAAGATATTGAGATATGATAGCACCAGCTAATCATCACATAAGTATTAGATCAATTCACAGAGCTGTTTACGACGTCTGAGGTTAATAGAATCACCTTTTAAATACAAATATATTAATCACCGGTTGTGCTGTAAAGGAATCAAAACAATTTAATGAATTACATTTAACAAGTTTCCACCATTTTTCATTAAGCTACAACTTCAATAAATAAAATACAAAATGGGATTTCTGTGTACAAAGGTATGTTCATGCTCTCATCAAGATAAATCATCAATGCTTTATATTCTTTAGATAATGCATCATAGAAGGCTTTCTCCTTTCCACTTTTTTATAAGTTTATGTACTAGTATAATAAGAGACAGAGAGGAAAAAAGAGACCAGCACCCTCTAAGGGATCACTCCATGCCACAATAATCTCCCCAACTTCCCCAGGTAGCCAGGATCACAGGCACTCGTGTACGCATCCAGCCTGAAAGGGTCAACCTAGGTACTGAACCCTGATCTTCCATATGGTTTCCAGCATTGCAGAGCATTGTGCTACCACTGCACTGGACCTCTACTTCTTTCTTTTCTTTTTTTTTTTTTTTTTTAGAGAGATTTTCACTATAGGGCGCGTTTGCTCACCCAACAGAGACATAGAGACAGAAAGCGAGAAATCACCCCCCAGGGGGGATGGTCACGACGCAATCCCTTCTCTTCCATTCTCCTCTCGGGATCTTGGGCACGCACACGCGCCCGGCGTGAGTTTTAAGCCACCGGGTCCGGGAAGTGAACCGCGGTTGACTACGTGCGAGTCCAGCAACATAGCCATTACGCTAACTGCTGGTTCCCCCACCACCACTTATTTCTAATGAGATAAACAATTGCAGTCTTCTGATGTTTTGTTACTTAATGGTACACTTTTATTTCCTCTCATGAAGTAGCAGAAATGAAAACCCAGGCTCTTGCATCATGCACAAATTATTTGCGTTCACTACGTCTACCTTTCTCCCTGAAATCGCTTTGGTAATTCCCACTATGACAATTGGCATGAGTATGTTATTAATGTCAGCAACTGCACTGGTATCTCTAGATCACACATTATAACACTGAACCAAAGTGCAGTATTTTATGTATGAACAAATAGAGTAACCAACCTGACTAGGTATACCACTCGAATTTCAAATGTGTTAAGAATTAATTTGCCTATTTTTCAAGCACTACTGAAATTAAAAAGACTGATAATAAGTTGAATAGAATAAAAGCCTGAATAAAAATATTATAATGTAGGGCCAGCAAGTGGTGTGGTGACTAAGGCAGCTGGATCCCACATGGCCAACTGCACAGTTCAAATCCCAGACCTAGCAACTTGAAAAATTCACCAGGCTTGTCTGCCCCAAATCCTAAGAGGACAAAGGGAAGAAAAGGGTTTGTGGTGTGACCATCTTCTTGTGGGTGCTTTCTCACTTTCCTCCTCTCTTCTGCCTCTCTGGCAAGTGAACACTCTCCCTAGTATATACCACACACATACATACACATACATGCACACACACTTAAATATGGCACGAAGAGCAGAATGTCATTTACATTTCATCCCTCAAATGTCCTCTCCTAAAACACATTTATTTTCCTAAATACAAAGACACTCAAGAATTCTTTTATTTCTCCAAGAGGGAAGTTATTTCTTTTGTTTGTTTGTTTTTGGAAGTTATTTCTTAAAACCCTGTCCATCTTCAGCACAATTACCAACAAGTAATCAGCAAGCATACTGTTAAGGTTTTGTCTTGTTGAGGCCTGACAATAGCATAGCAGTAACGCAAGTGGACCCTGATGAGAAGCTCTTAGAGCCCCATCCCGAGGCCTCTGCACACACCAGGTGAGCGTGCATATGCTGTGATCACGGCTGGTTAAGGCTGAGGGTGGATCACGGCATGAAGACCCTGTTGGAAGGTAACTGTCTCCCTCTCTCTTTTCCTTCCTCTCTACCTCTTTTCTTGGGAGAAATAAACCTAAAACCAATGAATTGTCTTGTTATTTTTGAGACATACACACTCCACACTATGTTTCAAGACACAACAGGGAATTTTTGTCTTCCTGATGTGACTTTTTTTGTCTAGGTACATTTCCTTTTACACAATTAATGTCATGTTTGGGGTCCAAGAGAATTGGATTTAAATTCTGATCCGTGGACTTCTTAGATGTGTTATCAGAAAAAAAAAAAGACTTAAACTTTCCCAACTTCAAATTCCTCATCTGTAAAAATAAAGGCAATAACATGCAAATTTTAAATTAAATAACACTTACAAATTGCCTAGAAGAGCACCTGAAACGTGGGATTTGCTAAATAATTTTCTTCCCTGCCTACAATCTAAAAATACACGGCTATAAGGGGATTAGTCCTTAAGCAAAAGAACCATTTTAAGTAAATTATCTTTAGATGCTTTCCACTTGCCAGTTACAACCATTCACAACAATAAGTGATTAGGCAGAATAAAAGCAGGCTTATCTGTACTTTTTTCCACCAAGCAGGGATCCTGGCATCAAACATGCAATCCAATGCGTCGCGTAGATTTTCACTCATGATGATGGTGCCGTCAATAGCAAGTTTGAGCTCAGTCAGGGTGCTGCGGACAAGGCTGAGTACTCTCTGCATCCTTTCTATCTCCTGTCTGAGGAAGATGTTCATTGGCTGGAATGGTCCCATCTTTTGCAGCCTCTCTTTTACCTGCCATGGAGACACACTGAAACTTAGACATTTACTAATAATTTCATGGAGCTGGTGCCCTGGGGCATTTGAACAAGCCCAAATTTTTACAATTCCATAAAGAAGAAAGTTTTAATTTTTTTTCAAATGCAGAAGAAAGGATAAATAAAAGAAACAGTGTTTGATGACCAGCCCAAATGTTTCTGCTATGGAGAAGAACACACAGTCATTGACTCACAGAAGAATGTGCAACATGTGATCACAAGCATGAAGTCTGCCAAACTGCAAATGCCCTTACTGGAGAATATTCCCAAACTGCCAATCGGAGCTCTCTCAAACACATACATGGACATACATACACAATCAGATATGTATACACACAATTTTTCTGCTAGCTGTCTCAAAAAACTAGAATTCTATTTTAAAAACTTTGTCTCCTTTCTTTTTTAAGAGAGATTTTTTTGCTATAGGGCACATACACTGGCTGGAGAGACTGAGAGACAGAGAGAGAAAAATCACTCTCCAGGGGTGACGACCACTCCACAATCCCTTCTCCTCCAGTCTCCTCTTGTGAGAGCTTTAAGCCATAGGGTCTGGGACTCAATTTGTAGCCAACTTCAACATTCATTATTAAAGTATTTTAGAATTTTAAAATACCAAACCATAAAAAAAACTATGTGGGAGTCCAGCAACATAACCATTACGCCACTTGCTGGTCCAAAAGCTTTCTCTTTTTTTCCACCAAGATATCCAACCATTCATTCATCCATCATCCTATGAGTATTTACTGATAGTCTTCTATGCATCAGATAATGTGCTAGGTTGAGCTGTTTTATCCTAAGGTGACACTGACAAATTCAACAAAATGAGGCAAAGGTTTCTAAATCCTACTACTTATACTTATTTATATAATTATTTTATTTTCAGATAGTTTTACTTGCCTCATAAATATTTCAACCCCTAATGTGAATGTCCTCTTTCCTAATTATCTAATGAAGAAGGCTTATGAAAGAAGATAACAGTATTGATTTTCTCCAAGCAACTGATCAGAGATCTTCCAGGGAGATTATTCCCTTGACGATAGGTCCTTGAGTTCAGTCTATAGAATGAACTGCCAAAATTACCTGCTTAGAAGAAAACAATAGGATGCTAAAGATACAAAATGCTACAGGATTCCTCTGAAAATCAGATGGAAAAGGGAAAATATACAAAGAAATAATGCCTCTGAGCCCAAAGTGTCACCATCCAGGTCATCTCCTAAAGCCACTTACTTTTGGTTTTATAAAAAAAATTTTAAACACTGAAAGGGTCCATCTTTTCACAATTTTCCCTAAAATGCCTAAAAAATTAACTTTTATGTTAGTAAATTTACTCAGAAGCCACTTGCATACTAAAATCTATTAATTTTTAAAACTAGTGAGATGAAGGTGCAGAAAAGTAATAATATTAAGCATAGACCCCCCCCCACCCACCCACCCCCTGAAATCAAGAAGGCTTGAATTTTTTTTCTTTTTCTTTGGAGAATTTTGGCTATAGGGCATGTGCACTCTCCAGAAAGACAGAGAGAGACAGAGAGAATGAGAAATCACCCCCTGGGGGAGATGGCCATGCCGCAATCCCATCTCCATTCTCCTCTCTGAATCTTAGGCACGGACACACGCATGCACCCGGCATGAGTTTAAGCCACTGGGTCCGGGACTCAAACCAGTGTTGACTAGACGGGAGTCCAGCAACGTAGCTATTCTGCCATCTGCTGGTCTTGGGAAGGCCTGAATTTTAAGGTGTGTTCAAATACACACACACACACACACACACACACACACACACACTAGATATAGATAGAGATATAAATAGATATAATATATCAGGTACATTACTCTAACAATACATTACTTTCCTTTAAGCGAATGACAATATAAAATAGTTTGGGAGAAGATTCTAGAAAAGCAATCCTAACCCATTAGTACCTGCTTGTTATTTGATGATAAAAATCTATAATACTCTCACCAGGTTTGTTTGTTTGTTGTTTTCTTCAGAGGACATATGCACTCATTGGAGAGTGACAGACTGATAGAGGAGGAAGTCAATAATTCACCCTTTATAGGAATGGTCACATCATAAACCTTTCTCCTCCTTTTCTCCCTCCTTTTAGGCTCTTGGACATGCACACACATGTACCTGGCATGTTTCTCTAGCTGCCAGGTCCAGAACTTCAACCATGGGGTTGACCATGTGGGACCTTGCCACCTTAAATGCCATGTCATGGATTGGTCCTCTCGCCAAAATTTTTTATTGTGTATATTTTAAAATAACTATGTTCATGGACTCAAAAACTTGTTTTCTTAGTTATTTACAAAGCTAATGTTTTTGGATTTATTTTTTAATTTTGGAAAAATAATCTTTTGCCTTTCTTCCTCCCTCTTTCAACCAAATATACACAGCAGGCATTCTGTCAGGATTTTATTGACTCACTTCAAATGGGCCATAGTCTGGGGGCAGTTTCTCCAGCATGTCATCGGCCAGCCGGGCCACCACAGCTTCCCGGGTTTCATCCCCTCCTCCAGAGCTGTCCTTGGGCTGGATGCCCAGGATAGAGTCCAGCACATCCTTGGCCAGCTTGCTCTGATAGGTGATGTCAGCATTGGGGTGCAGCCCGAACACCTCGGGGCTGTCATAGGCAGGCAGGCTCTAAACAACAAACACTCCAGTTCAGCCCAGGCTAATTGTACCGGGTCAGGAAATAGAAGTCTTTTACTAGGATAAGCACTTACGAGATACTCTTATTTGGGTCAGGCTGAAAAACCTCAATCATTTCTATAGAACAGAATCAAAAGTTGCCTTGAAAAAAATTTAACATTGAGAAGCATAATGTAGACCCGTGGTTCTTCAAGGCCTGTACCCCAAGCAAAATTTAATCAGAGAAACTGTCTTATTATGTGATATGTAAGATTGAGTAAAAGTTGCAAATTAATGTTTTGTTTTCTGATAGTCTAATCTAACTTGAACCAGTGTTCAAGCAAATATTGTATGACTAATAGTTATTTTTATAAGATAACTGGAAATGACAGTTTTAGCAATCATGGCCCAGATAAGGTACATGCAAGTGTTATTCCATCCCAGGGGAAAAGACACAGACTAAGAAAAAAACAGAAATACTCAGAGAGTAACCAAGTCAGAGAGAAGAACAGACAATGAGAGAGAGTCAGAGTCGGGCAGAAACAGAACAAGCAGGCAAAAACCTCCCTCGACCATTAGCAAGAGAACACATACCTATGATTTGACAAATACACGATGTATGAATCTTACCCTTAACTTTATTACTGTCTTATTCATATTTTTCCTTCCTGTCTTTTTCCCTGTTTTATCCCTTTGTACATAATGTCTTCTTAGGAGCTACCTTAATTTCATTGTGAAATGAAGTGTGTATACATACATACACAGGCATCCCCAAATTTATACCTTCCTAGGCACTTTTTCTATTCAGTGCTGATGATTTAAAGACCCATGCAGTACAGTAAGACAAATATATTTGTCAATTTGAATTAATAAAAGTGTAGAGGTGGTAAAATATGATAAACCCCTTACATTTATATATCAAAAAAACCTGTAAATATACTGATAAATTTAGCCATTTGGGAACTGGTGTGCATTTTCTCACACTGAGATAAATCCCAGATAAAGGCCAAAGAGACTTCTAAATAATGATCTAATGAATGAGACAGAAACTAGAGTTGTCTTGAAAATCAGACTTTTTCACCTACATTTTTCCAAATTTCCCATCAAAATCTGCTCATTTCTTCTTAGGGCAATGCTTTTCAGTGAAGGGCTGTTTTGTCCACCAGGGGACATTTGGCAATATCTGCAGAGAGACACTGGGTTGTCATGACTGTGGAGGGTGTTGCTATTGGTCTCTAGAGAACAGGGGCCCAGATGCTGCTGGACACCCACAACACATGGGACAGGCCCTGCACCTGGGATCCTCCAGTCTGGAATGCTCAGATGGCCAAGGCTGAGAGTCCCATTTCCTGGGCATTGCCACATGCTGCCCATGAGATCAGGATGACAGAACAGACATCAAACGACTTGTCTAGTGATGAAAAAGAAAAAGTAGAACAGGCTGAGCCTAGAAGCCATGGCCGTGCAGTGTGGTAGCTGAATCCTCACAGGCAGAGCTTCAGGTGATTTGGGTTGCTTCTAGATCTATCTGCCTAGCACATCGCTTCCCCAAAGAAAATTCCTCACCAAGATGCTAAATAGGAGGGTTTGGAAGGAATCCACACAAAACACTCAGAACAAATAGGAACATTTTCATCATAAGTTGAATATAAAAATAAGAAGAAGATTCTACAGTAGAAGCATCGGCATATCTTACCATTGAAATTTCTTTTAAGAGCAGTCCATACAGGGTAAATACATATCAAAAAGGTCAAATAGCTGCAGGTATTTGCTCTATGCATAAGATTCTGAAGTGGACAAACCTGAATATATTGAAGATAGGTCTCCACTGTGCTGCATTTTGGGATATTGTATCCTTGATAAAAGCTGAAATCTGGTCCAAACATGCTTTCACTGAACCAAACCTTAGCAAAAGTGTTCAACAATCTCTTATCATAGTCATCAGTGACTCTACCTCCATATTGAATCTCTCCTATCATGTAGCGGACTGTGGTCCAGGAGACACCCTGGGGAAAATTACAAAATAATTATACAGAACTAACTACGGTGTCATTGCTAGTTCCCTCCCAAGACATCTACGTACTCATCATCAATGCCATTCATTACTCATTCTTTATCAGTAATGTAGAGAAAGTCCCGAAAGAAAATTAAATAGGCAAACATTGAGTCACTCAAAGCCAATGTTTATGATTCGAAATTGACTTACTTGATACATTCATATTTTAATATTTTTAGAATAACAAAAAAGATTTGCTTTTAAAGAAAATTGAGGCACTTCCTTAAAAGAGCCCACACTTTAAATGTAATTCAGATTCATTTTCATTCTTTAGGATTTATAAAAACAAGTTCTTGGGACCAGCAGTTAGCGTAATGGCTATGTCGCTGAACTCCCATGTAGTCAATCACGGTTTGAGTCCCGGACCCAGTGGCTTAAAGTCACGTTGGGCGCATGTGCGTGCATACCCAAGATCCCCGAGAGGAGAATGGAGGAGAAGGGATTGCAGCGTTGCCATCCCCCTGGGGGGTTATTTCTCGCTTTCTATCTCTCTGTCTCTCTGTCTTTCTGGCAAGTGCACGTGCCCTATAGCAAAAAAAAAAAAAAAAAAAAAAAAAAAACCTCCCCCCCCCCAAAAAAATTTCTTGGCAAGATATAAAAGTGAATTCAATGAAATAAATGTTAGAAGACATTTTTCATGTGCTACACTCTTGTCTTCTGAAGAGGATTCTTCTTTAACTGTAGTATTGAAAAACTAACTGATGAGGGAGTGAGAGACTCCCTTATAATTCCCTAATGGCTGGGATCAGTATTTTTTTTGTATCGTCACGTAACTGCACCACAAAAAAAAAAAAAAAAAAAAAAAAAAAAAAAAAAACCTCTCCCCCCCACCAAAAAAAAAAAAGTTCTTCACCCATCCCCTCAAAAACAGGCCCTTTTAGGTTGGATTATATGGAATGTCAACGTGCTTTTGAGCAATAAAATGACAACTACAAATTGTTCATTTTTATCTCTGAAATCAAGAAGCAAGTGTGGCCCAAGTTGCCTTGACCTAAAGTGACTCTGCAAGCACAGCAGACCCTCCATCTGGCATGATTCACCCCAAACTAGTGGCCATGTGAGCAGCACGCACGCCAGTACCTTCTTGATGTCCATGTCATCTAAGTGGTTTTGGATGAACTGCACAGTGGCATTAAAGTCCGCTTGATTAAATTCATAGGGGATATTCCACCCCAGGGGACCGAACTTGCGCCTCTCTTGGACAGTGGAATGCAAGAAAGCCACGGCGTAGAGCATGGGCTTCCACTGCGCCCCGGTGCTCACGTCCAGCAGGTCTTGGCTCACCCCTGTTGTGGTGTCAGGTGAAAGACATCGTTTCTCAAATATCTTGACTTCATACTACTTGTAAAAGTAAGTCATTACTTACGTAAATTAAACTTCACTTATTTTGAATTACTTTTATTATATTTATATGATAATTATCATTGAATTTTGGGGTGTCTGGAGTCATTTCTCTCCGAAAAATCTTCAAAGGGAATTGGGAGGTGAAGAAAGAGCTTTCTAACAGGAGGCCGGTTTCTGCCAATCTAACAAGATCTTGTCATGTGGGGATAACATAGAGATGGAGGAATAATGACAGTTAAAATAAACATTACAACTATTACTATAATTACTACTGCTAACGATCATTATTATTTGGAACATATACTTTTGCTTTAATATTTATTAAAATAGTGTACTTATGGGGCCTGTAGGTACCGTGGTAGTTAAAGCACTAGACTCCCACATGGTTGAACATGATTCAAGTCCCAGATCTAGGGACTTGAAAAACACACCAGGTGATATGCATGTGCCCCAAATCTCGAGAGGACACTAGAGGAGAAGGGACCGTGGCATGGCCATTCCCCCCCTAGTGGTGATTTCTCAGTTTCCCTCCCTCCCTCCCTCCCTCCCTCCCTTTCTCTCTCTCTCTCTCTCTCTTTCTCTCTCTCCTCTCTCTCTCTCTAGTGAGCACATGTGTCCTTTGGCAAAAGTCTGAGGGAAAAAATAGTGTATATAAAATTTCATTGAAACCTGAGTATGTGCTCCCAAATAATAATGATTAGTATATGTTTATATATTTTTAAAATTATTTTGTCTAACTTTATTTATTTTTAATTTGACCACAGAGAGACAGAGCAGGGTAGGGGGGAGTGAGAAAACAAGCCACCAGGTCCAGGACTAGAACCGTAGGCAGCTATGTGGTAATCTAGCATCCTTAACCACCATGCCACCTACCAGCCCCTATTTATGTATTTTATATATAGAGATAAAGATATATGTATATGTATCTTTCACTGCCATTAGTTATCCTTCCAACTCTATTTTCTCTCTACATTCCCTTGTGGATTGGCAGAAATCTGGTTTTTGTTTTTATTTAATAGATATTAAAAATGTGTTTATTATTATTTTTAATTAATTAATTAATTTTTACATTATTCCACATTTACTTTGCATATCAAAAAAGCTTTTTGGCTCACACTCCATAGTTCAAGCAACCTCCCAAAATATCTCTTTGCATTCTTTTCAGATTCAAATAATTATCAAATAACTATAATTTCATTTTTATTAGATTACACAATTATTCTTAAGCAATAATCACATTTTTAATTATTATTATTTAATCATAATTTATTCCAATTCTCCTGGATAGATTTTACCATCCCTATTTTAAATATGAGAACATTGAAATTCAGGTTGTTTGAGCAACTAGCGCCCAAGAAAACAAAGTATTTGTCAACAAGATGGACCGAAACCAGAATTTCTGACTCCAAGTTCCATGTTCTTTCCATGACCACAAATCCTGTACATGAAGCCAGGAAGGAGAGGAGGCACAGGCAAAGAGAACAAACTCGGTTTCAGTTGGGCCTTGGGTGGGGGAACCTTACTGGTCTGTCTTTGTTGCTACTGTTTGATTTTTTACTTGCTTTGGTTCTGACACATGGTCCCATGAAGTGCAGAAAGACTATATTTTAATTCAGATGTCTCTCTTGGAAGAGGCCACTGTCCTCCTTTAGGCATGGGGCATAAAGATCGTAGGTGAAATGTTTGATATTTACATTTTTTAAGGCAGGTGTCTGGCTGGAGACCAGCACCAGCTTAAGTGGAGCAATATTGGGAACATGGAAAGCAGAAGGAAGAGAATTACAAGCACTGATCCCCCTAACATCGCTAGCTGTACTTCTTGCAGAGCATGACAAGGGATCAGCCCCTCCCTTTCAGGTTAACTAACAGTATTATTTGTTATAGCCATATCCTGCTAACTCTGCTTTTGTAATTTCTTAAGAAAGCAATGCAAGTACAAGAAACTCATGCAGACGCAGAAGTATTCCTTGACTCACCGCCATATGTTCTTTTCAGTCCTGCCCGGAGGCCCTGTGGAGGCTCGTTGGCAAACCTAATGGACATCTGAAGGAGTGTGATGGGAAACTGCTTGTGCACCTCTGTGGTCATCCACAGGCGGAAAGCATCATGTACAATCTCAGTTTCTGTAACTGTGTCCATTAGCTCATCCATGAAATCAAGTCCCAGATGGCAGTTCTGCAGAAGGGCCCAACCTCCCTGTCAAGAACAACAAAAGGAAATCCAGCTATTTGGTATTTTACCCTATGTCCTTTAGAAACTAACTAATTAAAATTTAGTAGAGGTAACAGCAGTTGCTATAATGGCTATGTCGCCGGACTCCCACGTAGCCGACCATGATTCAAGTCCCAGACCCAGTGGCTTAAACTCACACCAGGCGCATGTGCATGCTTGCCCAAGATCCCAACAAGAGAATGGACGAGAAGGGATTGCTGCATGGCCATCCCTCCTGGAGGGTGATTTCTCACTTTCTGTCTCTCTGTCTCTCTCTGTCTTCCTGGCAAGCACACTTGCGCCTTATAGCAAAAACCTCCCCCCCAAAAAAAAAATTAATAGAAAGGCACACTATGTTAAAATTAATCTAGGTCAAAGCTAAAAATACAATAATGTTTGAGATAAGCTATATTTTTTCCTTATCCTGTGCATATATCCCACTGCACATTAGCATGCCAACTGCAATAACAGTATATGGTAGCATTCATGAAAATAACTGATGTAAGGGGCCAGCAGGTGGCGTAGTGGTAGGGCACTAGATTCTCACACAGCCAACTGGTTTGAGTCCTGGACCTGGCAGCCTGCTTTCTCACTTTTTCTCACTTGCTCTCTTTCTCTGGTGATTACACTTGCCCAATAACAAATTTAAAAATAATAATAACAATTAATAAAATTAAATAAATATTCTTTAAAAATAGTAAAATAACTGAAGTAAAACATGAAAAGAAATAATGTACTTTCAAGTGAAGATCATTGACTGAGAACATTCATTTAACTCAGTTTCCTCCAAATTTCATTAAAACTACCATCAAGGAACTTGTTTTGTTTTGGTTTTTAGGGTACATGCACCTATCAGAGAGAGAGGATTTGGGAAACCATCCCCCCAGGGGGAATGACCATGCCAAGCGATTTTGTTTAAAGGAATGAACTTTTAAAGACAAAGAATGTCCAGGTAAAGACATAGCAACAACATTTAAAATAAACTTAAGAAAGCTGAATCCTAAATTGACATTAGAGACATAATGTGTAACCTGATTTGTACCCTGTAACTCCCAAACTACTCTAGAACAGGGCTTCCAAATTCCTCTGGGTGGGGGAGGCAGACAAGATGGGCTAAAAGAGGAAGACTGAAAGGTCAGACCCCAACAAAGGCCTGTCTCCCCTATTCAGACAGGTGAAGCTGATGTTTTTTAGATGGCAAAATAGACAAGGTCTGGACTGGAGAACACCAGCACATTAAGGAAATAGTGAAAGGAAGCTTATCTACTACATTTTTAAAATTTGTATTTGTTTAATTCCTGAGAAAGAAAGACAGGCATCCCCAAAAGGGTCTTCTTGCTTCCATTTATCCATTTTCTCAGCCTGTCTGAAGCATGGGCTCAGAGTGGTCTGGAACATGAACCCATGACCTTTCTTATGTGGGTCCAGTTGCATTTCCACTCTGTCGCCACCTGTTTCCTACCTACTAAATTTTGAGATCAGCTACACACCCCTCCTGTCACTGAGTTTTCAGAATTCTTGCAACTGGGCATATACCCTCAAGTGGCAAGCGCATACGCCCTATAGCAAAAACCTCTCGAAAAAAAAGAATGAAGAACTTTTTGGAAATCTGATCACTCTAGAAACAAGAGCCTTAGAAAAGAATACCTTTTGCATAAATAATTCCATAAGTATAAAAATATTATTTCTGTAAAGCAACTCATGCAAAATTTGGGATCATGAAATAACTATTTCTTCAGTTCTATCTAATCTATATTTTTGCTAAAATCATCTACAATGTCCAGATCACCATGTGTAGGTATTTTCCTATCATTTGCTTTGAGTCATTTGAGTCATGGATACAATTATTGAGTTATTGATACATGAATTGTTTTTCTTCCCAATGAACAAACCAGATACCAGATCTTGGTATAGTTACACATAAAACTGGCAATTTATGAATTTTACATATTCCCTTAGATTTTGTCCAGAAAAATATAGCACTGCTCCATAAATCATCTAGTTTTTACCTTTGGAAAAATGTAGACATTCCCTGCAATTCAAAATAAAAAATTTAATACAGAACATAACAAAAGGCTTTGGTTGCTTCCTTTATCCAGCATAGAAGTGAATGCCAATGTAAGTTTCTTAGGTGAGAGCTCTGCTGCTCCATCTCCACCCATGGAGTACCTTAGCTGACGGTATTTCATGGCCATTGCCAGGTTTCGTGTTAAATATTCTGTTCTCTTCTTACCGAGTAGAATATCCACTTTCCATCCTTGCCTATTTTGTTAACCCTGTCATATTGCCTCAAAACTTATAATATAGCCACTTTGGCAAAACCATTTTTTAATGTATATTTTTATTTTAGTGCTAGAGGGCACACATGCTCTCAAAAAAGGACAGAGAGAGAGGGAGAACACAACACCATCCACTGGAGTATGATCATACCGTAATGCCTTCTCCTCCATTTCAGCATCCTGTCAGGATTTGCGGCATGCATACGTATGTGCTCAGCATATTTTTCAAGCCACTGGGATTAGGATTCAAACTGCAATGAGCCATGTAGGATCTAGTTCCCTTAACCAATAGGCCAGGAGTCCAGCCCAGAAATACTATTATTTCTGACAAGTTACAAATTTGCTAATGACAATAAAGATTTTTTAAATTATTTTATTTGAGGACTAGCCTGGTATGGTAGTTAAGGCAGCCAGATCCCACATGGCCAACTGTGCAGTTCTAGTACCAGACTGAACAGATTGAGAAGCATCCTAATCCTGTGAGTGTGCATCCCAAAGTCCCAAAAGGAAGGAGAAATGGAAGATAAAGGTTTGCAGCATGATCATTTCCCACTGGAGGTGCTTTCTAACTTTCTCTCTCTCTCTCTTTCTCTCACTTTCTTTCTCTGGTAAGTGCACACACCCTCTGGCAATATTAAAAAGAAAGAAAGAAAGAAAGAAAGAAAGAAAGAAAGAAAGAAAGAAAGAAAGAAATTTAATTAAAATTAAACTACTAAGCAGAAAAAATAGATAAATTGAAGATTAAAAATGTGTTATATTCTAACATATCTACTTAAAACTATAATTATGAGTTACATAATTATTTTAAATTCAAATCAAATGTCCTGTTAATGTTAGTATTTTTAATTTTTTTAATTTTTAAATTTTTTAAAAATCTATTTATTTATGACGCCAGGAAACAGAGAGAGAGAGAGAGAGAGAGAGAGAAAGGCAGGCTCCTCCAATAGGGCCTTCACTCCACAATCCTACTGCAAGTCTAAGCCAGCCAGGATCCAATATGAGTCCTAACACTTGCAGTACATGGAAGACCTCAAGACTCAAACCCAAGAACTTCCCACATGGCCTCAGTATGGCCGAGTGTGGATTACCACTATGCCACCAAGTCTGGCCTGATATTTTAATGTTTTAAGTTGACAGATAAAAATTAAATATATTTATGGCATACAACATGATGTTTAGAAATATGTAAACTGTGGAATGGTTTCATTGAGCTAACTCAACTGATGCATTAGTGTTTTTCATTCTAAGTACAGTAATATCTACATTAGGCACAGTAATTGAGAAATACAGTGTTCTTATTGGGTAAGCTTTTCATGTAAGTCAAGACACAGCATGAAACTTATAAACGTGTGTCTAATTTGCCACGAAAATTTTCTTACAGGCATCATTCCCTTCCCTGTTCAGAAAATAGCATGCAGCATGTCCATTTAAACTGTCAATGATTCTCAAATTCTTTCCTGCATTGCTATTCCATAACCTGGAATATCAGCAGCCTAACACAAAAGCCAACATCTTGTCCTTACATTGGCCATTGTTTGCTGCAAGAGCTTGCGAGCGTGGACCTCCTGACCCTGGCCCATGGACACATAGCGGGTTTCTAGTTTCAGTCTCTTCCCTAAGGCGATGATGGAATCCGTGGGGTCTGAGCCCATGGACAGGAGACAGATGAGTGGCGTGCGTGGATCAGATTCCTCCCACGTCTTTTCCAGATCCAGGATAACTCCTTCTGCATAATTCTCTCCCATAGAGTCCATGATGTACTTGCGGGCCTGATAAAAATAGTACAACAGTCAAAAAAAACCCTTGTGATTCCTTCAAGAAAAAGTGTAGTGTAAGGAGCGGCCAGCAGGTGGTGTGGTGGTGCTAGACTCCCACATGGCCCACTGCAGTTTGAGTCCTTGACCTGGAAGTCTGAAAACCTCACCAGGCACATGTGTGTGTGTGCCCAAAATCCTGAGAGGAGAATGGACGAGAAGGGATTGTGGCATGGCCATTCCCCAGCAGGGCAGAAGGATGATTTCTCACTTTCCCTCTCTCTGTCTCTGTCTCTCTGTTGAATGCACGCACACTATGAAAAAACCTACTAAAAAAAAAATGCAGTGTGGTTTCCAAAGTTCATTCTTCTAGGTTATATCTGTGATACACAAGGTAACCCTGATAAAAATAAGACTCCGATTTATTCTTTTTTATTTGTCTATACCTTCATTCTGTAAAAGGAAGGCTGTGTTACTCACCAAACACAAAATCAAACAGTTAAAAAATCAGAACTCATGGGAGCAGCTGGTGGCATCTTGGTAACACAACTGAACTCACACGGGAATGGTTCTGGGTTTGCATCCCAGGACCTCTCTGAGTTTACCAACAAGAAGAGAAAGATCAGAACCCAAGATGGATGGTTCCTGGTCTGGAACCCATTTCAGTACACTGGCTGCTTCTTGCTATGCATAAAAAATAATAAATCTTAAAACTAAATAATAATATAGGCTGCTTCAAGTAAACACATACACATTTAAATAATAAAGTAAGCAGTACAATGCCTAGGACTTAATAGGTAATAGGATTAATGACTCTGTACACCAGCTGCTTCTTGCTATAAAAAATAGAGTATACAGTATGCAGGTTTTCCTGCCTTGGCAACTATTTCTAGAGGATTTCAGAGAAAGTCATCCTACCTGGCTTCTAGAAGACCAAGAAGTGGCATTCACAGCCCTTGCTGGCAAGAGTAGGCCAGTGATAATGAAATATCCAATCAGGGACCAGCAGATGGTATGGTGTTTATGTTGCTGGACGCCCACATGGTTGACTGCAGTTCAAGTCTGGACCTGTTGGCTTGAAAATCACACCAGGTGCATGTGTGTGCACACCCAACATTCCAGGAAGAGAATGGAGAAGGGATTGTAGCATGGCTACCCATCCTGGGTGATTTCTCGCTTTCCCTCTCACTGTCTCTGTCTCTCTCTCTCCCCAGTGAGCATATGCATCCTATGGGAAAAACCTCTAAAAAAAAATAGAAAAGAAAAGAAAAAGAAAGAAAAGAAAGAAAAAGAAAAAAGAAAGAAAAGGAAAAAATAGAAAAGAAAGAAAGAAATACTCAATCAGTGCCCAGCAGTGCTAGGACCCTTCACTCATAAGAATGGCCCCTCTGCCCCATCCTGATTCCTACCTTCACCTCCTTTACTAAGTAAGTTACTGGGGAATTTTCTGAGGTGGTGTTTTCTCCATTTAAACCGGGAGCCCAGATGACACTTATTTTTGTATCTCTTAATATTTTTTCTAGGTTGGTCAGATCCACTGTCAAAGTCTCTTACCTAACGTGGTTAATTCAGAGGATGTATAAATGCCCACACATTTTCCTGCCACCTTCTGACTGATATTTTAAAAGTTTGCTGACAAGATTTTTTTCACTTCCTCAAAGTCCATTCTATGCACATTCAGTCACAGTTACTGAAGCATGAACTTTGTGATCAGGGAAGCCTTCAAAGCTGGACACAGGCATCCCACAGCTGCAGTTGTTCTCAGTCAAGGAGACCTGCCATCATTGCAGCATCTCTATAGAGCACCTCCTCAAGACTCAGAGTTTCCTACTCCAGGTAGCTCAAAAGTACCAGTGCTGCCCTCCAACTCAGCACTGACCCAACATGACACTGCCATCCCAGCCAGGTGTCAGCAGGCTAGTGTATATCAGAGGTCAGACGGCAAATACTCTGGGCTTTGCCAGCTTAATGTCTCTGCCACAACTACTCAGCACTGCCGTCATAGCATAAAAGCAGTCACCAACCATTCATAAGCAAGTGGCAAATACTCTGGGCTTTGCCAGCTTAATGTCTCTGCCACAACTACTCAGCACTGCCGTCATAGCACAAAAGCAGTCACAAGCAAGTGAGCATGGCCACGTTCCAATAAAACTTTATACACACTGGCATTGGAATGCTATATAATTCCCCAGAATACCAAAATATTATTCTTCTAGTGATTTTTTTCCAGACATTCAAACATATAAAAACCATTCTTAGCTCATGAGATGTACATAAACAGGCAATGACAAATTTTATTGTTGAGCACTAATTGCCAACTCCTAGAATAGACAATGAGGAAGGCTATTTTGATTATAATGGGAATTACAACTGGGGGGGTCCTCTCTGGCCATGATATCCCTGTTCCTGGAAAAGGGACAGTCTAAAATAAGGTCACAGCCACAGTCCTAGGTCTAAGGATTACAGAGTGGTTGTGATGCAAATATGTATTACCTAAGATACTCAGCATTTCTGGATGAGCCCCCAATGTAGCAGGCGTGGATTTTAAACCATGCATAGATGTCCCACTAAGAGTGTGTTTCTTTGTCTTCATTTCAACTTTGATTCAAAACCCTGCATTATCTCCCTGGGGCAGCAGGGAAAAGGCCCAGTCATTGCTGGGTCTTCCCATCCCAGATATTCTCCCTCTCCCAACAGGTATGAGGCTTAGACCACAATCTGCTCCTCTGTACCAGGCAGATCACAAGTTTTATAGACAGAGCCGTGAACAAGTGACCCTATCCTTCGAGAGCTTGTTTCTCCTAAGGATGAGACAGACATTGAGCAAGTAATAGAAAATAAACTCATTTTAAGAGTTGATAGCTTGCAGTGTGACATGAAAGGACAAAACTATTAATCTTGCAGGAACATATGAGCTGCTGCTTGGGTGATAAGTGATATTTAGCAAGGCAAAGGGACAGTGAGGTGGGTCACATCAGTAAGTGCTCCATACAGAGGGCACACAGGCAGAGTCCTTGGAGCAGAAAAGACCACGTCACTAACTGGGGACAGAGGAATGACCAGAAAACCTCACAGAAAAGACAGTTCAGGTGTGGGCCGACCAGACCTCAGCGTGGCTGATCTCCAAAGAAAGTTGACACCTCAGTGGTATGAATGGAAACAAGGGTGTCCCATTTTCTCAGGTTATTCTTCACTCAAATCTAAAGAATATCTTTTCCCAATATCTGATCCCAATGAAACAGATCCAACCATTGAGTAGGGGGGGAATGGGCATATAAACCTCCTCACCTGTATGATCTCCCTTGTTGAGTACTTTTGAGACACAACGTGTCTGTAGCATCAGACACCTGGACAATGCAGCATTCTTGCACCCAAGAAGCTGAACGTCTCCTGATGAGGACAGTAACGCTCAGCCAAGATGCAGAGAAGCAATGCACAGCCTGGTGCTGTTTATGGGAGTGGGGACTAGAAGTACTTACTTTGCAGACCTCACATACTTCCCAAGTTGTCAGGCTGAAAATCATGAAAGGAACCTAAAGCAAGAAGCAGGACTTCGGGGGAGGGAGCATTTTCCCAGAGTTGTTAGCTAGAGCTTATTTAGAACTCAGACACTATCATAAGCACCAAAGGGAGCCATTGCAGGACTTGAAAGGCCAAAGAATGGCACAATCTTTCCACTTCTACAGTGTACGGGATGGACTAGAGCAGGCACGGCGGGATGAAAGGGGGCCAGCTAGGAGGCCCCAGCTCTGTCTGCCGAGGGATGACTGAGTCATGATCAAGATGTCAAAGTTACAAAGGAGCTTTGAAGACTTAAATATCAGCATTGACCCAAATAAAATTGTCTATGATAAAAAAAGAAAGAAGGAAGAAATACTCAAGCTCTCCTTTCCTCAGTGCCCTTAAATAAGGCAACTGTGTGACAATTCATCTGGGCAGGATAAAAGTAATGAAACTGAGAAGAACTCCTGAAAGGAAGGGTGATCTTAGAGCCCGGAGTTGCAAAACTCATTTTCCTCTTTTCAATAAATCATTGAATCTAGTCATTTTCATGATTCCACAGAACCTATGTGGACTTGAAGGTGGTTTTGCCGTAAGTTTTAACACTCCCCCTGGAGAGCAAAGGGAAAACATCCTGCATTCTATTACAAACTCCAGCCTGCTGTTATGCCATAGCTTATTTGAAAAAGCCTTTAGAACTTTACCTGAACTGGATATTAGAATTGGACTTTTAATTGTGAAGGCAAGACACAAGTCTTTTCGTGGTAAATTGCCAAGATCATGGGCCAGCAGATTAAAAGTCTGTAAGATGAATCTTCTAGAGATAAGATTCACATCAAAACCATGTAGAAATCTACTTTCTTACATCTAGAGTTGCGGCATTTTCATGGGAAATGACTGTGAGTTTGGACATGTGTCCTGTCTCCTGTCTACTTTTCTCCCTGATACCTTTACATTCTTCCTCCTTAAGGAAATATTGTTGGCCCACCTTGTGTGTGCAGACGTAGCATACTGGACCACAGACCTGTAAGCCACATGCCAAGCACAGTACAAGTTCCTGGCCCCATCCACCTGAGAACATTACTGGCACATGCCCAGTGTCCTGGAAGGCAGGGCAGAGGACTGGAGAAAGGTGATCACAAAATAAGTAAGCTCTGTAGAAGCCACTGCTCGCTCACCCTCTCTCTCTCTCTCTCTCTCTCTCTCTCTCATCCCTCTCTCTCTCTCTCTCTCTTTCTCATGCACATGCTCTCTCATTAAAAAAAAATTGAGAAGGTTTTGCCTTATGGCACATGCATTTGCCTGAGAGACAGAGACAGTGAAAGAGAAAGTGAGAAATCACACCCCAGGGGAAGATGACCATGCTGCAATCCCTTCTCCTCCACTCTCCTCCCAGGATCTTGGTAGGCATGCACATACATGCACCTGGCATAAGTTTCAAGCCACTGGCTCCATAACTTGAAGCATGGCCAGCCACATGAGAGTTCAGCAACATAACCACTATGCCATCTGCTGGTCTCCTCTGTATCATAAATTTTTAAAAATAGCTTTATGAAAAAGAAACATTGTTTTACTACTAACAAAATGGAGTCACCATATCATTTTTGAGTTAATACAAAATGTTACAGTAGGATAATACATTACCTTTATGTTCTACCTGTGTGTCAACCTTAGCATCACCATTTTCTCATTCACTTTTGGGTAAATGAGAAAAGCACTACTTGGATCAAGGAACGTTAATAAATCACTTAGGCCAAATGTACATTCCAGTACATTTATTTGCTGTTTACTTTTTTATTTTTCACATTTGGACTGCTAGAAAATCATATAGAAGCCTACGAGAAAGTTCTCTTCAGAATTAACACACAAAATATCTCTTTAAATATAAAAAAACTTCTTAAAATATTCTATTTTTCTCTTTAATATGCACTTTTTACCTGGGCGATAGTTCTGTCAGGACACCAGGATCTAATAAGGAGAAGACGTCGGAAGCAGTCAAGAGATTTATCATAAGCATTTGGAAGAGGTTCCTCCTCAGGGTTTTCCTTATCGAACCAATTTTTCCACATTTTCTCATTTCTTGATATCTAAAAATACCATGGAATCAGAAAGTTGCCATGTCATGCAAAAATCTTCCAGTAATAGTTCACAGCTATTTTTCATGAAACCTCTGACCATTCCAGACATAGGTGAATCATATTTCTGGACTATTTTTTTAAATTTTATATTCTACTGCCAAAATTGTGATAAAGTCACATGTAATTGGCTTCCAAATCAATCTGTGTTAACATCAGATAACAGCTGGTGTTAAAGAAGAAGAGTCCTGAGATGCTTTGTTTCCTCTTCGCCTCTGTAGTAGTGAATTTGTAAAGAATAAGGAAATCAATGGAAATTTGTTGTCATTACTTCGGGAAGTCTCATCTGCTCCCCAAAATCTTCTCATGTTAGGAACCAAATCTCATTTACTTAGATGGACTCATTTGCTGAGATGATTCCTGGTATCAAAGATGGTATTTAATATATGTTTCTTATTGACCAAACAGCTTTTAGGTGAATAGTTATTCATCTAAAGTAGTTTGAAATATACCACTTAATATAATCATCAAACAAATAATAGACCATTGGTAAATGATAAAAAGACACACTACATCTTCTTCTGGAGTTTTATAACCAAAGAGAGACAAGCACTACATGGAAACACTGAATGTTAAGTAATTTCTAGAGGTAAATATAACTTACTTTCTCTGGTATATTCCCTTTGATTAAAGTATCAAGTGTGGGGAACCAGCAGTTAGCATAATGGCTATGTCGCTGGACTCCCACGTAGTTGACCGCCGTTCGTGTCCCAGACCCAGTAGCTTAAAACTCACGCCAGGCGCATGTGCATGCGTGCCCAAGATCCCGAGAGAAGAATGGAGGAGAAGGGATTACGGCGTGACCATCCCCCCTAGGGGGTGATTTCTCGCTTTCTGTCTCTATGTCTCTCTCTGTTTGGCTGGCGAGCACATGCGCCCTATAGTGAAAACCTCTCCCCCCCCCCAAAAAAAAAGTATCAAGTGTGTTTCTTGGATCCTGTCAAAGGGAAACTTACTCCAGGTTGATATTTATAAAGTATCAAGTAAAAACAAAATAAAAACTCCTTTCATTCATGAAAGATTACACAATGTAAAGGGATTTCAGGTATTAAGATGCCATCTCCAGAAGGCAGCAACTTCCATAAAGACAGTGATCCAGGAAAAGTCACTGGTGGTCACCTCATAGGGGTAAAATGGGTGACTTAGTATCTCCTCAAACAGTTATTTAACTCAAAAGAATGGCTTATGCTCCTAGTACATGGTAGTAACATCACCGGTAAGCCAAAACCTAAACTGGGAAAGTCAAGAACAAACCTTAGGATATGTCACGGTCAAAACAAGCCTTCAACTCAAAGATGGATAAAGCCACATTGCTGCTAACCTCACTTCTCTGTAGTTGCCTGAATTTCAAGAACCTGTTTCCAAGCTTCTCCCAACTCAACTCTCTGTGCCCAACTTCCATAATTCTAACACATGCAAAATTCATCAGGAACTGGCTGATTCTGGAAACATGATAGCTTCCAAAGATAAGAGGCATTTAAATAAAATTCATATCTGATGCCCAAATACAATAGTGAGATGAGAGGAGCAGGGGAAGAAAAAGGAGAGGGGGAGAATGAGAGGCAAGAAAGGAAATTTAGGATTGAAAGGAAGGCTGTTCATGGTTGTTTTGTTTCATTTTGTTGTTTCATTTAATCTCTAGAACAAACCCAAAACCTTTTAAGTTCATCTAGTTATTTAACCTAACACCTATCGGTTGTTCTACTGTGGGCCTCCAATTGCTGCTGCTCACACTCCGCCTTGGTCAGCATGGGCTAAATTTCCTGGGTACATCTTTCTGCAAGCCCATGCTGCAGAGGCTGGAGTATATCTTATCAGAGTGCAGGTGAGCTGTAAGGAAGGTCCTGCACATGCAATACCATTTTAAGAGTAACAATATTAAATTTCTCTTCCACAAATATATCTACAGATAAATTAGAAAGCTGTTCACCACGACATTAGCTTAGGTTTATTCAAAACACAGGTTACCTGGTCAAGGACATCTGAAAACTGTCTAAGTTTGCTAAGTTCCACCAAATTCAACCATGTCATGTCCAGAATCCATTTCGCTGGTTTAGGAGGGCAAGCTTTGAGGTCCAGTGAAGCACCACCTTTAAAAATTAAACATACAAAGTTACCAGATTTGTCTTTCTTTACTATAAAACAATGTATTTAGTAAAAATGCTTGATTAAACTATTCTAATTTCAATTCTTTTACTACATTGACATTTATTAAGCATGGATATACAAATCATAATAAATAATTCAAATTTAAAATTTAGTAAACAGATAATTTTAGAAAAGCATGTTTAATAATCAGTAATATAGCTTCAAAACCAGGCAGATACTGGATTCTGTCTAGTTCAATCTGACCAAGGTATGGGTTAACCCACCTCACCTGTCTGTGCCTTGATTTCTAAATATGCAAAATGAGAATAATGAAGCCTAGGTGTGGTAATATATTTGCATAAAATAAACAAAACAGAATTGAGGATGTGGCAGATGGTTGCTAAATTGCAACTATTGTCAATATTAAGTATTGCTTGAGGGACCGGCAGATGCATAATGGTTACATCGCTGGACTCCCACATAGGCAACTGCAGTTCGAGTCCCAGACCTGGAAGCTTAAAACTCATACGGGGGCATATGCACATGTGCCTAAAATCCCAAGAGGAGAATGGAGAAGGGATTCCAGTGTGGCCATCCCCACTGGAGGGTGATTTCTTACTTTCTGTCTGTTTCCTTCTGGCGAGCACATGTGGCCTATAGTAAAAACATCTCTAAAAAAAAAAAGCTTGTTAGCACAAGCTACTTTTAAGTAGAACATTAATGTACAAATATTAGGAGCACTACTTATGTTTGAAGGATTCTTTTATATAAATCAGCATATTATTTACATCTGTTTTGAGCACACACAGGGTCTCTGTCCTGTATCACTTAAGTTTGAGCAGTCCAACGCAACAAACCTTCCTGTATTTTCACTAATGATTTATCTAAGCTCACGTAACTCACTAAATTCTAATGGTACATAAGATAGAATTTAACTCTCCTTTTTATAGTACCATATGATATCATTTATCTCTTATAACACCATAAATGGTAAGTGACCCCTTAAAAGTGACATTCTTGGGTCAGCCAATGACATGATAGTTAAGATAGCTGTATTTCACATAGCCTGCTGCATGGTTTGAGTACCAGACTTGGTGACTTAAAAACCACACTGGATGCATATATGTGCATACCGCAAATCCAATGAAAATGGAGGGAAAAAGATTACGGGGTGTTGTCTTTCTCTCTACCCCCCCCCCCCATGAGCACACATACTCCTATAATGCTTTTTTTTCTTAAAGTTACTGTATCTCACTTCATAAAAAAAACTGTGTGAACTGTCTATTTTAAGTCAGAGTAAGGAAGTATTCTATAGGCTATAATATACTGTTTAATAAATAACATCCATTACAATATTTCAGGGGAAATGCATTCTAAACATTCTTCTTCAAAGAAACAACAAATCTATTTAGCCATCTTTAAAATCCATTTCCTGGATAAAGTAGGTTATAAACAAATAATAGCACTCAAGATTTCTATTGAGCCAATTTCTATTTTATGTAGACATCATGCATACCACTGCTATAGTTTGAGGATGTGTCTCAAAATTCATGTGTTAAAAATGGGTTGTGAGATTAAGCATGTGAAAACGTACTTAACTACATACAGTAAGAGGTGGAGGCTTTGGGAGGTGATTAGGATTGAGGTCATCAGGGTAAGACCCCCATGACGGGGTCCTGATGGAGAGGCAATGAAACAGGTACGTGGGCACAACACACAGGTCATTGCTTCATCTCACCATGTGATGTCCTAGGCCACCTTGGGACTCTGCAGAAAGTCCCCAAGAACACCTTCGCCAATGTGGACCCTCAACTCTGGATCTCCAAAATCCTGAGCTAAAAAACCCTCCATTCTTCATAAATTACATACATTTCAGTATTTCTGTTATTAACAACACCATGGACTAAAACAGCCACCTGGTAAATTATCTTTTGACAAATCCTTCTTAATATATGCACAAGATAAATGTGGCCTGAAGGCATCTGAATGAAAATATTCACTCATAAAATGAAAACAGTGTTTTAATGCCAGGGAGTAATTTAAGATCTAAGAACAATGTCATTGTGTTGAATAAATGTTGCACCAATTTCCATGGCAACTGTCCATTTCCAACAACCTGAAAAAAATAAAGTACTCCCCAGAGAGTTAGGGACAGGAAAGGAAAAGAAAGGAAAGGAAAGGAAAGGGTGTCCCTTGCAGGCCAGAGTGTTATTCATTGTTTAGTAGAGGGCAACATAGTCATGAATATCCTGCTTGCCCCAAAATGAACAATGGGAGATTGAAAATATTGCAATTTGGCAGAAGAAGACAGATTCCTGGATAGCACGGTACCATACTAAACCAATTCTTGATAAACAAATAGCTGAGAAAGGGAAACTTCAAATTAAATTCTCAAGATGATTTGAGAATTACACCATTCCCTTTTTTCCCTCAAATTCTTGCTTTGGGAGAAAAAGTAAGTTTAAGATTTTAACACAATACTTTATAAAATGTATAACGTGCTTACAGTGAAAAATCTGTACATGCTGTACTGCACATACTAAGTGCATAGCTAGGGCAGACTGAGAAAGACTCCACGCTGGTCCTCCCCCTGCCATGATGGGCAAACACCAGTCAAACACTGTTGCCACCAGTTAGAACAACTGCCTGTTTTAGCAGCTATGGGGTTGCTATAACAGAATAGCACATCTGGGTGATACTTCACTTATAAACAGGTGGAATTTATTTATCACAGCGTGGAGACAGTTAAAATACAGGCAGTGGCAGATTTGGAGTCTGATGACCCCTACCTGGGTCACAGAAGGGCATGTCCTGACTACAACTTCACGTGGTGGAAAGGCCGAGGAGTCTCCCTTGATCCTCTACCATGGATATGAATTCCTTTGATGAGAAGTCCGCCCCCATGACCTAATTGACTCCCAGATATGTATGTGTATGTACAAAGTATTTATTGTATTTACAAGGGGAGTTAAAGGTTTATGGGGAAAAAAAAAAAAAAAACACAGTTAAAGAATGAGTTTATATCAGTGCAAAAAAAAAAATTGGAAATCCATGCATTGTTTTTCATGGTATGCATTTTCCATGAACTTTGTGAAGATCTCTTGTACATGAGTACAAAAATGCATTTATATACGCACCTCAGGTCCAAAGTGTACAACCTACACCCCTACTCCTCCCCACAAGGCTTTCTCCAAGTTCCTCCAAAATTCTGCTCTCCAAGTGAAGTCATGAAAATTTCCTGCTACATAAGATTGTGCCTTGCCTTTAAAGGCTTTGCTTAGAAAGCTATCACAGATAAAGCCATTGAGACTCCAGCATCATTTTCATAGTGTTCTGGGTTGAATCTAATGCTCCCCCTCCCCGCCCCAAAAATGCATATATTGAAAGCCTACTTTCCAATTGTGATGATACAGGGAGGTGTGGCTGCTGGCATGTAGCTGGAATTAGATGAGGTCAAGCTGGTGGGATCCTTGCAAACAGATTAGAGCCCTTTATAAGAGTCAAAGGAGTCACAAGAGGGTGTGCCTCCTCCTCCCTGCTCCCACCATGTGAGAGTGTGATGAGAAGCTGGGCATGCGCACCCAGAAGAGGGCCCCCACCAGAACCCAGCCCTGCGGTGCTCTGATCTCAAACTTTCAACTCCAGAACTAAGAAAAGTGAATTTCAGTTGTTTGTAAGTCATTCAGCCTCTGGCAATTTGTTATAACCCTACAAATTAAGTCACATAGTTATTCTGAATATTTTCTTTCCAGACATTCAAGAATGTGAGAGTGAACTTGCATGTCCCAGCCTTCCACAAGCTGTACTGTTCCAGAGGGTCAAGGGACCTGGCTGGGAGCAGTGCTTCCTAAGATGCAGAATAAACACCCCCTGGATGAACTACACAGTCCTCACTGTCCACGCCAGTCACGCTGGGGGCTCTGCTTTGTCCCCATCATACCAGGCTCTGTCCCATGGGGCCTCGATGCCACCTGTGCCTTCTCCTTTCTTCCCCTAAATGGCAAGCAACCCTGCTCCTTCAGGCATTTGCTCCCCGGCCGATCTCTAGGGAAGGCCTACCCCATTAGAGTTTCCAATACATTCCCCATTTAATTTAAACCACCCCCCATTTACCCTGTAACTCCCCACTCCCTTATCCTGCTCTATTTCCTCCATAGTCCTTACTTAATGCTCTATTACTTTTCGTGTATGTATTGGGTTGTCGGAAAGCATGATGTATTTTTTTCTGTTTTTCTATGCAAAAATGTGTCATGACTTTTCTGACAACTATATATATTTGTATATATCTATGTGTGTGTGTGTGTATATATATATATAAAATATATATACACATACATATATTTAGACACATACATACATATATACACACATACACACACATCCACGTATAGATGCACACACATGTGTGTGTTTTACAAGATTTCTGATCACTGCCACATTTGAAATGCTCATTCCATATCCTGGTATACAGTCGTTCCTCAATGAATAGTCATTATTTATTCAACAGACGAACAAATAAAATATCACACATCAAGGCAATCATAAATGAGATGCAAGGAAATCACTATGATCAGAATATTTATAATACTCCAAAGAGCTTTGCCACATTCCTATCTCTGCACTTATATAGAATACTTCCTATGGTTAAATCGACCTTTAATAAGAGTGAGGAACTCTTCATGCTTGACTCTGCCCCTCTGCATGTCGATCTTCAGGGTGAGCAGCAAGGTGAACAGGAATTTGTGCTCCTCGTACAACCCTCGGGCAGCATACTTATAAACCTCGAAGGTCATGTGCTCGATGATATTAGCGATCCTCTTGCTTGTAATTGGGCTCTTGACAGACCTGGAGAGGAGAACATTTAAATCAATCTTATCCCACTGCCCTTTTGGATTGTCCATAAATACGATCTTTAATGGAAAATAAGTAACTTTGGAGGACTAATTCTTGTTTTTACACATCAAGAGTAGGCCTCCTAAATCTAAAATAACAAGCATTCTCTCAACATGAAATAACATTACGGAACCCTCAGTGTTTTCTAAATCAATTTTACCTGCAGGGCATTATCACTCACAACAATATCCTGGGAATTTTCTTGTTTAACAGAAATACATAAAACCAAAGGAATCAAATCAATGGATGAATTGATAATAGGGCTTTCTCTCGGCATAAAATGACAAATTAGAAAGATTTATTAATGCATTGGTAATTACACTAATCCTAGATTTTACAAAAGGAAGCCACTTAACAATAAAGGAGAAGGAAGTTATGAATGTAATGTCATGATTCTGGCGCACAGACAGAGAATTCAGAGTGGTTTCCTGAGTACAGACATACCTGGCTAAGGAAAGGTCAAACAAGCCCAGAAACTGGCGGAGCGATGTCTGATACATCTCATTAACCAAGCGCATCTCAGTGATGAGAAAGTAGAGGATGCTGCCCCGTGTAGCAACTGAAAAATGAAGAGCAAGGTTACAGCTGTTACAAGAGTGGAAAATAAATGACCCACACAAACAGATCGGCCTAAGTGAAAACTGCTTTCATTGTTATGTCTTATGAGTGGTCGCCTCCTAGCAATGGGACCCAAAACAATGCTCATTCATTAATATATCTAATTATCATTTGTAAAATTTGTGTAAGTATTCTGTTATTTGTGTTTTTCAAATGGTACTCCCCATTTTGAAATCTCTAGAACTCTTGTAAATATACTTTACTACATTTTACCATAGGTAGGAGGGATGACCAAAAGAATTTTGAAGGCTGTATGTGTAACACTTAGCAAGTTACGTAGTCATTAAGAATTTCTTTCTTTTCTTTCTTTTTTTTTTTTTAAGAGAGATTTTTGCTCTAGGGTTCATGTGCTCACCAGAGAGACAGAAAGAGAGAAATCACCCCCCAGCGGGGATGGCCATGTCGCAATCCCTTCTCCTCCATTCTCCTCTTGGGATTTTGGGCAAGGACACATGCACACACAAGCACCCAGCATGAGTTTTATGATGCTTGGTCTGGGGCCCAAACCATAATCAACTATGTGGGAGTCCAGCAACGTAACCGCTACACCATCTGCTGGTCCCTAGGATCTCATTTTTAAATTCCAGGAAGAAGGTGAAATTACTCTTGGCTTTAAGTTTACAAAACAAGCTATCACAAAGATGAGGCTCCTCTCTCCACCAGTAGCTTACATTTTTTCTATTATTTTTTTTTTTTAGGAGGAGTGATAAATTACTAAAAGGTAGCAATTGAATTATTTAGCAGATTCTTCTTGTTACCAATGAACAAAACACATTTGCAAAATTGTTGACTGAGGCTGACAACCTTCTATGAGACTGGAGAACTCTCTTCCAGACAAAAGACTGTAATGAATGACTGGCATATCATTATCCAATGACAACCAGTGAACGGTCCACAAATGCTGCACAAATTCCTCAGGCTTATTCGTCTGCAGTAGATGGGCCAGCAGTGGTGTGGTGGTAAAGGCAGCTGGATCCCACATGGCCAACCCTGAAGCTCAAGCTCCAGATACAACAGCCTGAGAAACACACCAGGCAAGCGTGTGGGGGTGCCTGCAGTTTCAAAAGGGGGAGGAAATGGAGGAGAAGGGATTGTGGCAGGACCACTTCCCAGGGTAGGTGCTCTCCTACTCAGTCACCCGCCCTCCACTTTTCTCTGTCTCACTCCATCGAGCACACAGGCCCTCTGACAAATGTTTTAAAAATTTCTCCTTCCTTACTTTCTAACTTAAAAATAAGTTCATGAGAACTGTGAAGGATTTGCCAGCTAACCTGAATTATAAGCATTTAGATAATGTATACCATTATCAAATTGTTCATCTCCATTTTACTGACTAGTTCCCAAAAGAAATGCCACAGCACATGAAGGGTCACCCCTCTTTACAGTCATTTGTGAAACGTCCCCACTTCTTTCCATTTCCCTCTCATTTCCTTCTCGCTTCATTTTTCTATGGCACTTGTCTTTCATTATCAAACTCACCAGGTCTGTATTCCTCCCGGGCTGAGTTAATTTGAATTTCTGTCTCAGCAGAAATTTCCAGCTTCTGTGTCACCTCCTCGGCTGTCTTTTTTGTGTTACTCAGCACAACAATGAGACTCTCATCTTCTACCAGAGACCCCTGAGTACTCGTCAGGCGGCAAAGCAAATTATCTTCCAGCTCCTTCATCCTCCTTTTGTTTGCAGTTACGTCTTCCATAAGATGAGTTCTTTCTTTCTCCAATTCCTATTAATTTGCATAAATATATTGTCTCCCTTAATTAACAACTATTGTGTAGGCACTCCTTAAAAAGTTAACCATGAAGCAGGCAGTGGTACAGTGGTAGCACGACCAGACCCACATGAGAAGATCCTGGGTTTGTATTCTGGGACCTCGCTGTACATGCAGGACTCACAGGGCAACACACCATGATCCTGGCTGGCTGAGATTAGGGGTGGATTGCAGCATGAAGATCCTGATGGGAGTATTTGTTTCTCTGTCTCTGTCTCTCTCTTGGAAGAAATAAATAAGTAATTTTTAAAATGAATTTCTAATGGGATCTCGAGTTCCTGTCCTTTATTTATCACACTTGACTGCAGATAATGTGGACACCAAAAAAGGAAGAGGAGAATTAACAGTGAGAATAGGCAATCAATATGAATATGCTACTAAAAAATCACTGGGCCAGCCCTATGCAAGTGGTTGAGGGAGCTGGATCCCACATGGCCAACCACGTGGTTCACCTTTCAGCCCTAACAGCTCAAAAACACAATAGGTGCATGTATGTGTGTGCCCCAAATACCAAAAGAGTGGAGAGGGGATGCTGTATGTCCATGCCCTGTTGGGGGGGCGGAGGGTGATTCCTCTCTCTCCTTCTCTCACTCTCTCTCTCTCTTCCTATTTGCCCTCTAGCAAATTTTGTTTAAAAAAAAATCACCAATATTCTTTTAATCAGCTGTTTATAAAATCAAGTCAGTTTCAAATTATTTTTGGATTCTTTTTAACATAAACAATCTTTTGACAGTAAAGTGTATTTGAAGACAAATATATATGTCTCTGATTAAACATGCTTATTTATGTTCAGATTCTTACTTTAAAGAGCTCCACTGTTGTCTGAATATTTGTTTGTTTGTTTCAAACTTGCTAGGTAAAATAACACCCAATTCTGTAAAAAGCAACTTTCCAAAAACTTGGGCAAGCTGAAGAAAGCATAAAGTCCACAGGCTGGGGACAACAGAGAGAATATGTTTTGAGCACCCAGTCAAATAGCACACTAAACTCAAATTGTTGTATGAGAGAACCCAACTTTGAAGTTAACAAAAAGAATGAAAAATGGAAAGGTTAATAAGTAATGACTACTAAAAAGACTTCCTAAGGGCCAACCCCATTGCCTGGTGATTAAGGGAGGCAGATTCCACCTAGCCAACTATGTGATTAGAATCTCACACCCAATGACTTGAAAAACATACCAGGTACATGTGTGTGCATGCTCCAAGTCCCAATGGAAGGGAGAAATGATGGAGAAGGGATTGCAGTGCGATCACGCTTCCACTAGGGGGTTCTCTCTCTCTCCCTCTCTTTCTAGGGAGTTCTCTCTCTCTCTCTCTACAGGATTCTATCTCTCTCCCTCTCTCTCTAGGAGGTTCTCTCTCTCTCCCTTTCTCTCTACAGGGTTCTCTCTCTCCCTCTCTTTCTAGGGAGTTCTCTCTCTCTCTCTCTACAGGATTCTATCTCTCTCCCTCTCTCTAGGAGGTTCTCTCTCTCTACAGGGTTCTCTCTCTCTCTCTTTCTCTCCTCTCTCGCACACATACCCTCTTCCAAATATTTTTTTACATTTTTTAAAAAGATGCATTCAAGAGTTTACATACAAAGCTTTTTACACACAGCATCCATTGACAATTTACCTTAATTTAACTATATTAATAATGTATGATTCCATATAAACACAATATAGAGAAATTAGTCTTAAACGCAGGCAACTTAAACAGCAAAGTCACAAGAAAGTGTTGTTGGCTGTTCCAATTGTGACTCAGCACAACCACTTGGACACATGGTACCAATCTCAAATTTCTAGAGGATCTTCAGGAATGTAAATAATTGAGTATTCCAGAAGTAACTCAGTGGGTTTTATAGATTCTACCCTCAATTAATGAACTAGAAATCTAAAATATACAGAGTGGAACCACATGAAATCATATAAAATATACATAATTAATTCCATGTTTATTTTTATGACAATCCAGTACTCTCACAAATGTCTGGAGGGGGGGGCAGGAGGGGGGTCAGACCTGGCCAGAATTACCACTGTTTATCATTATACAAGTCCTTTCACTTCCACGGTTCATGCAATTACTCATCTATAGTACTTTATGCATTTGAGAAACTTATCCCCATAACTACTCTGCAAATCACATCTAAACTCTCCCAACATGTTGATATGTGTATCTCACTTCTTATCAGCTCTGTACCAGATGCCCTTTCAATGTCTCCTACTTAGGACCTTCTGCAAAACAGAATTTCTGGTTCTCTCTTCCAACCTATGCTATGTCAGCCTTCCCACCCCCCATCACAAACAGCAACCTCATTTTTCCAGCTGCTCAAGCCCAAACCCTTAATTCCCCCTTGGTCACTTTCTTTTTCTCAAGCCCCACAGCAAATTCATCAGCAAATCCCATCATCTTTACTGCACAAGTAGATTGGGAATCTAATCATTTCTCACCACCAACCACCCTGGTCCAATCTATCATCATCACATCTACTCTAAATTGTAGAACCCAGAAAGGTCTCCTGTCTCCATCCTTACCCACAGAGTCTACTCCCACCCCAACAGTCAGAGCAAGGCTACTAAAACACTGCCTCTCTTAAAACCCTCAAAACCCTCCAGTGCTTACCCATTCCACTGAGAATGAATGCAAAGACCCTCACCAAGGCTCTGAGGCTCCACCAAGCTGTGCCCTAGAGTGTGCGTTAGGCTCACCTGCAGGGCTCGTTCAATGGTGTTGGAGCAGAGGTGGGGAACTTGCGCCTTAACATATTTCCAGGTGATGTGATGCTGCTATTCTCGCACCACACCTGGAGACCCAATACCTAAAATACACAAAGGATCCTCTTGCCACAGGGCTTCTGCACAATTGCTCTGCCAGTTGTGCTTTTCCAGGTAACCCTCTCTCTCCTCTTGTTTGAGTCTGTTAAATGTCATCTTCTCAGGGAGGCTCACCTTGACCTCCCTATTTAAAATTGCAGCCCTTGGAACCAGCAGATGGCGTAATGATTACATCACTGGACTCCTACATTATTGACCACAGTTTGAGCCCCAGACCTGAAGGCTTCAAACTCAGAGAACTTTGTCTCTAAGTTTTTTGTCCACTGAAGAGATTACTTCTTAGCATACAGATAGATGGATACACACACATTTGGAGGTATAAACACCTGTGCTATGTTTTCTACATTCTAAGGCTATGATGCTACACAATAAACTGTAAACAAATTTTTAAATAGTAATAAAAAATTATATAAACTGATAATGCTCAGTTTTTGTTTGTTTGGTTTTGTTTGGAAAAATACCCCAAAGTGAATAAAGAAAGCAAGGGAATGGTTAGGTAAGATGTTGTGAGCAAGCTGTTTATTAATTAAATGATCAGAAAAGGAAGTGCCTTAACAAAGAAGTAACTGAAAGCTAAAACTATTTGTGAAAAGAAACTGCATCTGTAGCCCAGTTTTTTAAATCATTAAACAGAGTCAGACAACAACCTCCCAGAGTTTTCATTTTAAAAGTATCACCCAGGCTTCAGTGCCAATGATTCTCTTTTGTACGTTCCACAGGTAATTAAAACAGAAAGATTAACTAAGAGAACTCCGATTTATTTTTTCTCGGCCACCAGTGAGCTAGTGATAACAATGTCTGTTTTGTGTCTTTATTAAATTGTTTCCATGTAAGTTTCACTAAGTTCAGGGCCTTCTACCTTAAAAGGAAATCACATACCTGTTTGCTCACCCAGAATTCTGGCAATGACAATCCCCGAGTCCTTATTTTGTGAGACCAGCAGAAGCTGTTAATCAATACCAGTATTTTTTCTCCTAATAGGAAATAGTTCTCTTTGAGGTTCTGTTTATTCTCTAGGATCAAGGTGAGTGTGAGCCTTTGAGATGTGGTTTCTATAAAGAAAAATTGTTGGAGGCCTACCGGTTTGCTGCTTGTTCAAAACAATCTGGCTACACCACCTGCTGGTGGCAACAGCAGGTTGTCTAAACCTGCTCACAGGTACATGAGGTAAGCAATTGTATATGGCCTTGCTGTGGACTTGAGTAGCACATGCATTTAAAATGTTTGCCTTAGACCGGTCCCATAGCACAACCATTAAGCTCTGTGTATAGGGATCTGGATCTCACGTGGCTGACAGGTTTGGATCCTGCCCTGGTAGCTTGAAAAACACGCAGCCTGTGGAAGTGTGCACAAAATCCTGATGGGATGGATAATTGGAGGAAAGGGGATTGCAGCATGACCATGACCATGCCCATCAGGAAATGCTTCCTCTCTTGAAGCAGGCCAGCTTAAGGTTTAGAAGTACTGCAGTCATTTTTAAATGAAGACATAACAACAACAATCTGACCAAGTGCTGAGGTCTGTTTGGGGAGTGGTCAGATGAGAAATTAGGTGCGGGTATTTGAAGTACAACAGGAATCAGGATAGCGACGCAGGGGAAAGTGCTTGGCTCTGATTAGAACGAGGAATGATTTGCCTCTGCTTTCATCTTGTCTAAGTACTGAGAACATGTTGACATAAGGGTCTTTTCGACTGTGTGACTAGACTATAGGAAATGACCCAAAAGCACCAGAGACCAACTCAGACCCCTTGCCACCACCCAAGTGAGAAGATACCACAATGTGAACAAGATATGCTATGAAGTATAGATTTTGCAAAAGAAAAAGCCTCTTGGAGAAAGTATCCTACTTAAAATCCACCAAAAGTGAGTCCAGTAGTTCACTGTCTGCAACATGAAACTTCAGTTTGGAAAAAAGTAATGCAAGTGTTATGTTGTGATGTGGTTCAGGGTGAGATGACCCTCTGTTATTATAAAAGGAGTGTCATGTCACTCTGGCCACTTTTCCTGTAAGAATTGCTTACTGTGAGCCTCGAACAGATTTTGATAATGAGATGATAGTAAAAGAGTAATTTTCTCAAAACACTCGATTTTCCCAGGACATTAAAAAAGAAAAGCCTGGCCCCCACCCTAATTGTCTTTTCCAGGCTGCTCAAAGTCTTTTCAAAGGAGCGTAAAATGCTCCTCACTTCATCTTAAACCTCTGCTGTAACATTTAAAACTCAGTGCTGGTTCTATTGTTTTGCTTTATTTTTGTTTTGTTGCAACTAAAATCTGTCATGCCATTTTTTTTTTCCAAAGAGACTGTCTTTATCTCAACTGAATACATGAAAACCAAGAACAATAGTATTGGAACTGTCATCAGGGCCACTTTTATCTCTAAAGTCATGGTTACAGGTCGAAGCAGAGCCTAGGGACCAGTGGTGAAGACTGGCCTAAAAGGTGCTCAGGAGTCCCCCTTACTCATCATTACCTGCCCTTGATCAGGAATCTCAGTCCTTCCCGAAGTTATTATACAATCATGTGAATATCCTTAGCCACATCTGCTGTGATTTAACTCAGGACTCAAAAACTACCCAAATACATATTTCGAAAGCTGTTACTAACACAACAAGCTGGTCTGTGGTAGAAGCTATACCTTACTGGTATCTGCTGCCTTGACATCAACCAACCATGTAAATTTATGAAGCTGGATTAAATGCTCTTAATGCAAACTTCCAACTTTTTGATCCTATGTTTCATGTGCTATAGAGTATAAAAAGAGAGAAGATCCCCCTCCCCCCCAAAAAAAAGAAAGGATAAAAGACAGGAAGGAAGATGGGGAGAAAGAGAGAGACACATGGTAGGACTCATAAGAGCAGGCATGACACAGCACACAGAAAGCTAAAGACAAGACAATGGAAGGGACAGTTCCCAAAGCTGTCACCCATGCTCTTAACTTGAATACAACTTCAGGTCATTGTGGAAGGGGCCATAAAATAAACTATACACCTTATTTCTATGGAGCCCAAGAGAAAATCAATAGCAACTTAAAGAGTTCATGCAGGTTTATTATAGCAGTCCCATTAAAACCTCTACATTTCTTAAGCCTCACGTGTTCCCTAGAGAAAATGCTGACTCAGAAGAAAGGAGTTAATAAACTCTTGGCCATTTTTCATAGAAGTAGATAAAAGCAGGTATGGAATTACGCTGCTAGAACAAAATTAAGTCAGTAGCTGTCAGAAGGTACACAGTGAGACTAGTGTCACACATGTCCAACTTGTCACACGAGACACCCTCCATCACAGCATATACACACCTCTCTTAGATAACAAATGGAAACCAATAATGTTCTTTCATGAGTACATTTTCATTTTGTGTTCTAAAATCATAGTAAGTCAGATGAAAGAAAGGCTTAGACATGTACTAGGAAGCCAAAAGTCAGTAGGTAAGTAGAACTCACAATCAACTTTCAGAAAACTAAAGCAATTTAAGACTAGAATAATGACATTAAAAATTAGGCTGATATCTTCATGGTGATATCATCAGTCTGTATAACAGCAATCAATGATATATCCAATTTAGGAGATATGCATGAAACATATGAGTAGATAACTGGTTAATAATTTCCTTTAGGTGAAATGAAGGCACTTAGAAATTAATAGGAAAAAAGCATGAGGAATAAAAGGGGGGAAAGCTTAATCTTTTATCATGTGATTTTCATCAATACAGATCTCAACACAATACAGAAAAGGAGTGGCCATGTTCACTCACCTGCTTCTCTGTGAGAATGACTCTCCCCAGTAACTGGTCTTCTAGACCTTTCATGGTGACCGTGAAGTCAATGATGGAGGTGTGGGCACTTACTTCAGGGGTGTAAGCAGGATTGGGCAGCTTCGTCGTAATGTAGAGTCTGAAGCCATCCATGACATCTACTTCTTTGTCACCAACTTTCACCTTTTTTATGAAAAGGAAGTTCATAAAACAGATATACTTCACTATGTCTCTTTTTGTACAGAAATAAGTATTGCTTTAAACAATTACATAATATAATTTGTAGATCATTTGTAACTAAAAAATTAATGGTCACAGTATTTTGAACCACTCATTTGGATGGAAGGAAGGGAAATTCAATATATACCATGGAACAAATATAGATTTTAGAACCAAAATTATTGTGATCATACTGCAGAGGGAAGCTGGATCTCTTGCTCAAAACTTGGTTCAGAGGTTGAGGCTGATAATGCCAAATATGCACTAAAATGGTGTGAAAAAGTCTTACTACTCAAGTGAGATTTTCTACGGAGATCAGAGCAGGCTCCAAAGGGGGTCCCAAGAGTGACTTCAGAGAACAGGGAGAACAGCTGGTTGGGGGATTTAATGGTGGTTAAGGAGTGAGGCTGAAATGAGCTTTTCCTACAGGTGGGTATGGGCTGGGGCTTGCACAGTTTGAATGTCTGACCAGTGCCAAGGGAGGTAGCATCATGTTTTCTTATCAGCTTACCCAGATTTGGTGGGAGAAGAGGCAAAAGGCGAGAGAGCTGTGGGGTGGCTCAAAAGCTTTGGGCTGTCCAGTATCAAAATGAAGTCAGAATCTTCATTTTGAAAGTGAAGCAAGTATTTCTAAAAACCATTATTCCTGAATACTTGAATCCCAACTCAAAAAGTTCAGAAGAGAAAAACAAACACCTCTCGCCACTGACTCAAATTTAAGTTGCTACCAATTGAAAGATTCCAATCTGTGTCACATTTATCTGGCCTCGTGATGCAGTGGTTTTTTGATTTTTTGTTTTAGTTTTTGTCATAGGGTACATGAGCTCACCAGAGAGAGACAGAGACAGAGAGAGAGAGAAAGAGTGAAAAGTTACCTCTCAAGGGGGATGAGTATACTATAATCCCTTCTCCATTCTCCTCTCAGGAATTAGGGCAAGCATACATACATGCCCAGAGTGATTTTCAAGCCACTGGGCCCAACACTCGAACTGTGCAGTTGGCTATGTGGGATACAGTTCCTTAACTACCATGCCACCTGCTGGGCCACCAGCAGTTTTAAATAACCTACCTTAAAGGTAGACCCAGTTTTAATGAAGTTTCTTTCCAAAACATTATCCAAAGCTGGATCTAGTTCCTCTCCAACATCTTCAATAAGCAACGGCCTCCCAAGAGAAAGGCTGTCTTCCAGGTGATTTCTAAAGTACTTGTGATTTAGGGATGTGATCTAGAAATAAGATTGCAAAGTTGTTCTGAACAGAAAGCATCATGCTGCAATGCACAGGAATAACTCTTACCAAATGATGTCTAGAGAAGTGACAAATACAGAGATTTTTAGAGCTTGCTGGTTTGGAACCTATACTTAGTGAAGTGGTACAGGATGCTCAAACTTCCCATTTTCTTTAGAAAACCATTATTGTCTTTTGCTTGGAAGAATAAAAGGCTTCCGAGTGGCAATGATTCTTTTCCTTTCCTAATGCCACTTTTGTGAAAAATAATAATGGAAAAATTAGACAAAAATTAGACTTGTAAAGTATACATTTAGTGTGGTGTAGCTCTGCCCTTCTGTTTTTCTAAGAGTCCTTGACCCTAGTAGCATGAAGTCTGAAACCACCGAAAGACAGCAGTAGTAGACATCAACACAAATGCAGTTAATGAAATTTTTAGAAAATAATATTAAATATCATCATGTGTCTGCTACTACTGTACCTAGAAATACAAAAATCTTGTATGTTTTTAACATCTCTTTATTCTTGGATGTTTGTTGATTGGTGCAATGCTTGCCCAGTAACATAAATTTACTTAAGTGCCTTGCTTTCTCACTTTCCCTTCCTCTCTCTGTGTATCTCTCTTTGGATAAAGAAAATAATAATGATAATAAAGTAAAATAATTCTTTTTAAAAAGGGGGGGCAGCGGGTGGTACAGTGGTTAAAGTGCTGGACTCCCACATGGCCAACCGCTATTCACGTCCCAGACCTGACAGCTTGTTTTTTCACTTTCCCTTTCTCTCTGTGTGTATCTCTTTAGTCAAATCAAAAAATAATGATAACAAATAAAATTAAAATAAACAATTCTTTCTAAAAAAAATGTACTCAAGCACAAATTACCTGGAGTTCATTGTGGCTTTCTTTATTCTTAATCCAGAGTTTGCCTTGAGTCTGTGGATCAATGAGCAAAGGATAGCGAGATGCCTTTGTGACAATAATGCCATTCTGAATGGACAGGTCATCATTTGGCAAACCTTGGAGGTTCCATTCACTAATAGTGGGAGCATCGATCAACATTTCATTGAGATTTATGTTGTTTCCAAATGGGATTTTCCGGGCTTTCATTTCTTTCTTCCAATCATTTAATAGCAGATCACGAAACTCTTGGTTAAATGGACCAGAATAAGATAGGAAAGCTGTAGCCAACAATACATCCCCTACAACAGAAAGCAAACATCACTGAAATACTTCATGCTCAATCTTCTAATTATGCAGCCTATTAAAAAGGAAAGGAAATACAAAGACAACTGTTCTTCTAAACGATGTGTCACAAATCAAATTGTAACCACACATTGCAGTGCCATGGTGAATTAGTCAGTAGTTTGGATCATGATTAAACAGGGTCCAAACAGCCCACTAACAGTTGCTAGTACTCAAGCTCTGGGTTATTTTGACTTTTGTGGGAAGTGATAAAAAGATGATCTCTGGTGACCAGCAGTTAGCATAATGGCTATGTCCTTGAACTCCCATGTAGTCAGCCACAGTTCAAATCCCGGACCCGGTGGTTTAAACTCACATCGGGCATGTGTGTGTGTATGCCTAAGATCCCGAGAGGAGAAAGGAGGAGAAGGGATTGCGGCGTGGCCATCCCCCCTGGGAGGTGATTTCTCACTTTCTGTCTCTCTGTTTCTCTCTGTCTGTCTGGCGAGTGCACGTGCCCTATAGCAGAAAACCTCTGGGTTATTTTGACTTTTGTGGGAAGTGATAAAAAGATTATCTCTGGTGACCAGCAGTTAGCATAATGGCTATGTCCTTGAACTCCCATGTAGTCAGCCACAGTTCAAATCCCGGACCCGGTGGTTTAAACTCACATCGGGCATGTGTGTGTGTATGCCTAAGATCCCGAGAGGAGAAAGGAGGAGAAGGGATTGCGGCGTGGCCATCCCCCCTGGGAGGTGATTTCTCACTTTCTGTCTCTCTGTTTCTCTCTGTCTGTCTGGCGAGTGCACGTGCCCTATAGCAGAAAACCTCTCCAAAAGAAGAAAAGAAAAAAAAAAGATGATCTCTGAGTTTAAAGGATACACAACTCAGAATTCGGGCTTCATTTAAAGTGACCTTGATCAGCATGCCCAGGTACTCATAGGAGAATTCAAAAATGGCCTAATAATAAAAGGCGTAAAGGTCTATAACACATCTACTAGAAATGGCGCAGATGCCAAGTAGATATCCCTCCTTCAAAAATTATTGGAAACACACCAATAATTTTGCCAAGAATTTGAAATAACAGATTTTTTTTATTCTGAGTAAAGCTTCTAATTGCTCTCTCTAATCAGTCATCATGTAGTCCCATTAATAAAGAAATCCACATACCCACAAGTCTTTTTGTTTGTGCAGCGAACTCTTTGCTTTGCTCAGTCCATCTCTCTTTTTCACCTGCCAAGCCACTAATGAGCGTGGAAGCCGTCTGCATCTTGTGTCTGCACCGCTCAGCATCTTCAAGCAAGGTCTACAAAAGGCCAGCATCAGAACAAACCTTTTACTGAGAAAAATATAGCCTGTGGCTCAAAAATACAACTCTGAAACATTATATAGGATCTGCCTTTCTGAGACAAGGTGAGCCATTTACTTCACAGGAAGGATAAGACTCCAATTCCATGTATCTTTGTCAGCCCAGTCCTGCCTCTTATGCTCTGTCCATGAAACTTGGCTCCGTGTCTGTAGATGACACCTCGAACCAAGTGCTCAGATCCTCCTCAGGGGTTAATAACTGAGAAATTATAGAAAGTTGCATAATTTATAATTTACCTATTAAAAATGGAAAGAGAAAACAATTACACATGCTAGTACCATATTACACAAAATATGTGGGAAAGTATGCACCCTTAGTTAAAAATTAGGAATAGTCCTCATGTTTCAGTTCCAGTATCATTATTGCTTTATCTAACGCCACCCTTCCTTTTTCTTCAGGCAGAATTCTGGATTATCTTCCAATTATGGTGCCCTGAGGCTCCTGTGTGAACTTCAGTGATGCTTGACTTAAAAGATCCCTTCCTGCTGCTCCTCACTACAATAGAAGGCCTTTAACCAGCCTTCTACTTGTAAAAATTTATTTAATTGCCAGGGGCCACACGTGCCCACCATGGGGGGGAGTGGGGGTGGCATCCTCCCCAAGGGGCTGTGGCCAAGCTACAGTCCTTACCCTCTGTTTCTCACCCTGGCAGGAACTGGGGCACACAAGCACACATGTCCATCATAGTTTTCAAGCCACCAGGGCTAGGGTTCAAACCATGGTTGGCTGTGTGGGATCGAGCTCCCTTACATACTGGGCTACGGAAAAGGCCCAACTACTTGTTAGAATGTCTATGTATGAAATAAAGTAGGTATGGACAAAGAGCTAGCTACAGGACCAGTACTGGATGTTCATTTACCAAAACAATAAATATAAATAAGCAATATATGTGTGTGTGTGTGTGTATGCTAAATGTCTAACAATTGACTATTTTTAAGTAAATTTAGTTTATGTGAATAAGAATACTCTGAAGCCATCAATTATTATCTTATAAAAAATGTGTATAACCAAAAAATATCATCACAACAGATTAAGTTAAAAATCCAATGTAGAAAACAGTATGTTCTTATCTGTTATGTTGATTTAAAAATACATGTAAATATGAGACGACTTTTAAAATTCCATGGAAAATGCAACTGAACTTTATTTACAAGGAGGATAAATTTTGAAACCCATGCATTTTCCATGAGCTTTTGGAAAACCATTCACAGAGGCATATGTTCAGATATGAAAGACAAGGATAAAGTAGTATTAGTGCTAAACTCCAGGGTTATCTATTTTTCATAATGAACTTGAATTGCTTCTGTAACAACACAATACAGTGTTTTTCAAAAGCGAGATACTTATTCCAGCTTGTCCTAGCCCACGTGCTGTTTTTCTTCTCCCTAGAGTTTTCTGCTTTTACTTTAAGGTGAAAACTCAAAGCTAGCTGAGAAGCACTGCCCCACATCTACACACCCATGTTCGCTTGCTTGTTCTTCCCGAAGAGGACAGAGGCCTACTGGGAAATACGATTCTAGGACATTTATTAGACACAAGCTCTTTATTTAAAAGAAAGTTTTAGTACTGATTTGTTTTCCCTAAATTCTCATTCCCACTCTCATCTAGCCATATAAGGAAATGTCCAGGCCCCTCCCTTGTTGGTTTGTTTTCTAGAAGCCCAGGATCCTTTCCAGAATTGCTACGGTGGGAGAGAATTTGTCCAAGAGTACAAGAAAGAGAAGCACATTGCAGTCTTCCCCCAGACCTGGCTGGGGAGGCTCCACAGAACACACCGGGTTTTCTGAATAGGACTCTGCCCCCAGGCCAGCTTTCTCACTGTGCCCAGAGAGGTCCAGGGAGCTAGACTCTAATGTCCTGTGGACAGACTGATCAGGACACACCTTCCTTCAAGGTACCCCACAGGCCTGGACAGTGAGATTATCCGTAATAACCAGGATTAGCTGCAGAGCAAGGCCCCTTCACCTGCCTTCTGGGTGGTCCACAGCCCCCTGGACTCTCATGGGGCCATACAGAGAGAAGGGCAAAGATAAATAAATGAAGGCCAAGTTCACAAGATGGTGGTAGTCAGGATCATGCATGGCACAATTTTTTTTTTTAATTAAAGAAATGTGACAATTATTTGAAATTCAAGTTTAAGAGTAACAGTTCATGTGGGTCCTATGATTACTGACCTAACAAATAGCAGATGCTCATAAACAAAAAAACTTTTTAAGTAAAATGATGTAAAAAATGTTTATATTTAAACACACAAAATGAAAAAAATTCTTACTGCCTAGGGGACCAGCAGTTAGCATAATGGCTATGTTGCTGAACTCCCATGTAGCCAACCGCGGTTCTCGTCCCGGACCCCGTGGCTTAAAACTCATGCCGGGCACGTGTGCGTGCATGCCCAAGATCCCAAGTAAAGAATGGAGGAGATGGGATTGTGGCGTGGCCATCCCCCCTGGTGGATGATTTCTCGCTTTCTGTCTGTCTGTCTCTCTCTGTCTGTCTGGCGAGTG